TAATTGGGATTTTTGGTTTTGGGGTTTAGATCCCCCGGGGGTTTTTTTAAGAAAATGGTAAATCCCGGGTTTTAAATTTCCCCTGGGGGGGTGGGGCCCCCCCCCCCACCCCCCCAAAGGGGGGGGGGGGGGGCAGAGCCTACTGGAAGTTAATATAATACTCTTCCCAGATCTATGGTAAAATAGACCGACGTGCCCTTTTTTTTGCACAAAAGGTAAAACAGATCGATGTGCCTTAAGTATTTTTTATATATTTCTTGATTTATAAATACATTACTAAGTAGAAATATTTGAAAAAATTCGTGATTATAGATATACTATATGATTACAATGTGACAACTTTGTGTGGCTGCTGAATTAAAATTGAGTGAATTAAAATTTATTTTGTTATTAATTTTAATAATAATATATTGTATTTTAGTTATATTTTATATAATAAATTAAAATTTTACTGACTCAGAAAAATTAAAATAAATCACAATAACAGATATTATATAAAGGTATAATCATGGCTCTTCGCGCTAATTCTCCAAACAGGACTACTGGTTTTATCCATTCAATTGGCGCCCATTTCCATCTAATTAGCATCCGTTTCCATCTAATTAGAACCCATTGACATCTGATTGGCTTCCATAGAAATTGAATTTGCGTCCATTGCCATCTGAATTTGCTCCCATTGCCATCTGAATTTGCTCCCCCTCTTTTACTATTGGCGGAAGGGTACATGGCACTCAATTTTTTTATCCTTGCGCCTTACAATTTTTTTTATATAACCGTAGTATTTTTTTTTGTAAACGTCGTACTTTTTTTTGTAAACGTCGTACTTTTTTTTTGTAAACGTCGTATTTTTTTTTGTAAATGTCGAATTTTTTTTATATAACCGTAGTATTTTTCTTTGTAAACGTTGTATTTTTTTTATATAACCGTAGTATTTTTTTTTGTAAACGTCGTATTTTTTTTATATAACTGCCATATTTTTTTATATAAGTGCCAAACGCCTAATGTAATAGCACTTCAATATATGTAGATCTTTCTACAAAGATACGTCATAGAAAATATCTATAGAGAGAACTAACAGAATATGCAAACTTTTCTCCAGATTACTTTGTTAAAGTTAAATACCTTACTGCAGTTATAAGATAATAAAGCAAGTATCTCATTATAATAATTATGTTAAAATTGAAAATGCAATGATATTATTTGTATGCTTTCTTTATTGCAGAGTAAGTTTCGAATAAAAGATTCATTTTTTCGTCACTTGTAGCCTCCTTGTTGTTTTTAATGAAAAAAACAACTGGAGACTTTCTCCACTTCAAAATATAGCTACCAGCAGTTGTTTGTTTCATATTTACTATCTTGCTGGCTTTTTCGATAGTTAATCCCCTTATGAAGTAGAGATAAAGAAGCTTTTTTATATCTTTATCCGTAGGCTTTTGATATTGCCCTCTACTTTTTTTGGGGGTTTTGTCTGTTGTTGACGGGGCAGAACTTTTTGGATCTTCTGGCATTTCAGGCTCTTCAAGCTCTTCCATGATTTTTTCAAAGGCACTGTTATATTCTTCAAGTTTTTCGTGTAACATTGTAGGGTTTTCTGATAATAAAAGGTGAAAAAATAAAGAAATAGGAAGATATGTTAAAGTGACATATTTTATATAAATATAGTTATATCTAGCACATAGCAGTTATAATTAAATAGTAATTACTTAAGATGCAAGATAAAAATCAGAACACAAGTTGAAGCAGCAAGAATAGATGTAAAGAAGATTGAGTTGTTGTTAAATAGTATTAGTCATTATATTTTCAGCTTTTTATATCAAAAAATAATATTCCAAGGTCCACTAAATAAAGTAGTACAAATTGAACTCAAGGAGATAAAAAATAAATAGGACAATATATTACCCGCAGCCATAAATTTATTATAAACATTCTTTTTTAAAAGAGATATCATAATTCTCTCTCTTTCCATTTGGTGTTTATATACCAAAACTGTTTATTTCTCTTCTTAAATCAGCAATAAATCTCATTCTCATGCTCACTTCAACAACTAAATATTACTCTGACAATGAAAACACTGCCTAAAGCTCTACACCTCATGGATTTTTTTATTATTTCCAGATCACATTATGTTTCTGTATGTAAATAAAGCCTATACCTCGGAGTCATTGATATTAATCTCTAAATAATCTATAGTATTTTGAACAAAAGCTATAAATCTGAAAAGAAAACGTGACGATTCAACCCTCCACCTACAAAGAAACTACAAGATCAAACATCTACCTGTACGATAGGAACCAGTCTACACATATTCATAATGCTTTTAAGTGCATTTCACCGACTATACTTTTTCGAAATCCAACAGTAGAATTCACTCTACCGACCACACAAAAACTTGCCAATTTTTATCTCAAATATCCAGTAATCTGATTGACTACCACAGCAATTGTATTTCTTATGAACCTGGTCCTACACAAGCATCTAATACCATTACAAAAAAGAATCCAAAAATGCTATATTTATTCAGCACCTGCTCCAACCATTTTACAATGTCAGAATCCTGATCTTCTTAATATCAAACTCAACAACTCTTTGTAATCTGCACTCGAAACAAGTAAATGTCCAACAATCTGTTAAACAACTGAAAGCGGTCCAAGAATTATGCTTTGCTCACAATACTACCCGATCTCAATTTTGGAAACCCTCATGATACAAAATACCAAAAAAAACCCAAATATTACACACACAAAAACAGTAACAAAAAATAGCACAAGCTCATGACAAAAAAAAGAAATAAAAAAAGAGATGAAAAAAAAAGAGATGAAAAAATAAAAAAAATAAAAAAAAGAAATAAAAAAAAAAATAAAAAATAAAAAAAAAAATAAAAAAAAGAAATAAAAAAAAAGAAAAAAAAAGAAATAAAAAAAAAAGAAATAAAAAAAAAAGAAATAAAAAAAAAAGAAATAAAAAAAATAGAAATAAAAAAAAAAAAGAAATAAAAAAAAAGAAATAAAAAAAATAGAAATAAAAAAAAGAAAAAAAAAGAGAAATAAAAAAAAGAAAAATGTAATAGCAATTTTAAAAATAATTCTCCAAATAGTATAACTAGCATTTTTATTCATAAATTTTTATAATATACATAACCATTTTTTCGCAAATAATTTCTGAAAAACTGAAAGTCTCAATAACTGAAAATAAAATGATATCTTACTGCAAGAAATTTCTGAAAAACTGAAAAACTGAAAAACTGAAAGTCTCAATAACTGAAAAAATGAAAGTCTCAATAACTGAAAAACTGAAAATCTTAATAACTGAAAATAAAATGGTATCTAACCGCAGAAATTTCTGAAAAACTGAAAATCTCAATAACTGAATTTCGAGCTTTTCCTTGGCTCTATACAAAAAAAAACTTTCTTTTTTTTTATTTTTTTTTTTTTTATTTTTTTTTATTTTTTTATTTTATTTTTTATTTTATTTTTTATTTTTTTTTTGGTTGGGCAAACCCATGAGGAGAAATCCCACCCCTTCCTTCGAGACAGAGGACAGGACACCATAAAGGCTCTGGTAGCACTGTAAATCGGCTAATAAAATAAATGTTCTTAAAAGTGTGAAGAAGCTTAATATGTAAACATTCATTATTCTTCAACACGTTCTTTATCCAAATATATTAAGACAACAGGACAAGACTATACCTTGGTAGAAACGTTTAAGTTATTAAAATATATTTTTTTTTGGTATATATACCCCAGTGTCTTAATAAAAGTTTCTCAGTTATCTTTCTTCCTCGATTTTAACACCCTTTTTATTTTCAAAAAAAAATGCCTACTTCCAACAACTCCCTCGAATTTGTTATGGACAAGCACTGTGAAATGGTCAGTCACAGCGGTTCTGCAGACCAAACCCAGTTTTCTGGAATTGCTTTCGACCCCTTGTGCGATTTCAACCAAGAGATTGTCGACGAAATGCATGGAGAAGTTGTACTCCGATCTGTGACAGATGTCTTTGTCAACCATGCCGATATGGAATGGACCCGTACCTCGGCCGGAAACCCAGCAGTCACAAACCTCCTCAGTCTCAAAAGTTTCCTGCCAACCGAAGTCAACGAGGCCACAACCAAGACAATTGTTGCACAGAAGCCGAAGACGAATCTGCCGGAGAAGGTCGATCCTGATTCTGTTCCCACTGCAGAAAGCATAGGTCGAGGTTCGTACCGAAAGTACAACCAAAACCAGGTGAACAAGCTCTTCTCCTTGGTTTTCTCAGAAAACCAGACTGCTGCTGCCGCTGCCAGGGAAACGGGGATCAATGTCCGGACTGCCCAGAACTATGTCAGGCTGGCCAGAGAGAAGATCCAGGCCGATTTTGATGCTGCCACAGTGGAGACTGATGAGTCCAATGGGCTGGAGACGATGGAGGTTGAGGAGGTTTCTGCGCCTAAAGAACGAAAACATGGCAACCAAAAGTTGTTCCAGGCGCACTCTGCTTTTTTTTTGAAGTTTTTCGAAAATAAACCAGATGCTACCTTGGAACAAGCAAGGATAGCTGTCATGGAAGAGTTCTCTGGGCTGCAGATTACCAAATCAGCAATCCAGAAGCACTTGGTGAAGAAGTGTGCCCTGACGATGAAGAAGTTGGAGAAGCTGCCTGAGAAGAGAGACGACGCCAACACAATTGAGATGAGACGAGACCGCATTTTGGAGTGGCAACAACTTGCGGATTTCAACTATCTGTCGAACTGTGTGTTCATCGATGAAGCAGGCTTCAACATGCACATCAAGAGAACTTTTGGCCGTTCCGTCAGTGGCACCCCAGCAAAGACAACTGTCCCGACGCAGAGAGGTGTGTCCATCACCATCCTTGGTGCAATGTGCGAGAGAGGGATCGTCAGCCTCTCGTTGAAGAAACCCACTGCAGTCGCAACCAAGAAGAAGAGAAAGTTGGACATCTACACCAACGTTGAGGTGAACGGTCGAATTGGCACCAGAACCCAGCACTACCTCGACTTTCTTAGTCATACAATGGACGTTCTGGACAGCCAGGGTATGCAAGGACGTTATCTCATCATGGATAACGCTCCTATCCATAAGGCCGATGAGGTGAAAGACTTTATTTCTTCCCGTGGGTACAAGTGTGCATATCTTCCTGTGTATTCACCTTTCCTGAATCCAATTGAGGAAATGTGGTCCAAGATCAAGTTTGGTGTCCACAGAGAAGAGATTACAGAGTCAGACGGGCTCATCTTAAGGATTACAGAATCAGCTAAGACTGTCACCCTTTCGGACTGTTTGGGTTGGATTAACCATGCCATTTCATTCTTTCCTCGCTGTTTGAACAGAGAGCGAAAGCTTTAAGTATGTCTTTTATGTCTATTTAAGCTCTTTACACTCTATGTCTTTTTTTATTTTATTTTTATTTTTTACTACTTTATGTCCCTCTTTTTCTTATTTTTTTTTTACTACTTTATATCCCTCTTTTTCTTATTTTTTTTTTACCACTTTATGTCCCTCTTTTTTTATTTATTTTACTGCTTTATGCTTTTCTTTTTTTATTACTTTGTATTTCATTATATCTTACTTCTTATTATGTGTTCTATTTCTCTATCAACTAATTATGCCTAATAAAAATATCCATGTTTTATGCCAAAAAAATACGACGTTTACAAAAAAAAATACTACGGTTATATAAAAAAAATTCGACGTTTACAAAAAAAAATACGACGTTTACAAAAAAAAAGTACGACGTTTACAAAAAAAAATACTACGGTTATATAAAAAAAATACAACGTTTACAAAAAAAAATACTACGGTTATATAAAAAAAATTGTAAGGCGTAAGGATAAAAAAATTGAGTGCCATGTACCCTTCCGCCAATAGTAAAAGGGGGGGAGCAAATTCAGATGGCAATGGGAGCAAATTCAGTTGGCAATGGACGCAAATTCAATTTCTATGGAAGCCAATCAGATGTCAATGGGTTCTAATTAGATGGAAACGGATGCTAATTAGATGGAAATGGGAGCCAATTGAATGGATAAAACCAGTATTAAAGTCCCGACCAACTTTCAACAAGCAAAAAAATCATGGGTACATGCAGTACTAGGAGGATCCACTAAGATCTCCAGTCTCATTGCAGATCCTACACAACGTACACTCAACACCCTGGCCAGCAGTGAACCTGAAAACCTCACCCCAAGCACCAAACTTCCTCCTCCAGTGGACCACTTTTCCTCATGAGTAATGCAGCTGTTCCTGAAAGGCACTGCCAACCATTCAGCTGTCATTGACATCACTGCACTTACAGTCACACAAAAGCCTTTGTTCCTCTCTGATTTACAGACTTTTTTCAATGGCAACGAACATTTGTGGGCTGTTACCGATCAAATTCACCGCGAATACAATCGTCTGTATGCAGAAATTGTAGTCTCTCCCCTGTACTACAACCGATCTAAGAATGATCCTGTCCTCATTCTTCCCTCCTTCGACGTGCCATTTGCCATCTATCCCACCCTACCCCCCTCTGCCAAGATCTTGAAAATCTCTCTTTCCAGACTGGCTCAGCTCCATGCTGATATGACCAACAACTTCAGCCAATTTGGCGCAATTGTCGACTGTGGCTATGTCACTGGTAGCAGTGGCCTGTACGCCGGCGGTGGCTATGCCGTTCTAGCACTATCCCCACCTAATTCCACCCACTCCTCTGTAAAACTCTCCCATTCACTGAACTGGTCCTACCAGCCTCTCAACTACTCCTCGGATACTGGTACCCTCTCCTCTGACTTTGACCATGTCAGTATTTTTGCAACATGGGCTGCCATGCCTCCTTTCTGCCGATACTGTCACTTGGATAAACACGCCCTGATTGATTGCGATTTACGCAAAAAAGCTACCATGTGTTGCCTATGCAACGATGGAGGTCACATAGCCAAGTCTTGTCCCCGCAAGAATGAATCTTCTGTAACCCCACAGAAACACCGTAAGATTCCGGCCGTACAAGAGACACCTCAACCCTCAACACCCTCTTCTTCTATCGTTGTGCCTCCTCTTCCCTCATCCTCTTCCACTAATGTTCCGACAACTACAGGCCGTGTCAAACGCATTCAAGGTTCTCTAGAGCGATCTGTGACATGCTCTCAGGCCTCTCTTGTAGTACCTAATGCTCCGCACAATCCTAACCCCATCAAGGAACACAAGTTACCTTTGCCTTGTTAATACTGTGGTCTACTTGGCCATCAGTGCTCCAACCACAATGCTTGCCTAAAAAACCCCTGATATATTCAGAAGGAGACTACTTCTGATGATATGGAGACAGACTTCGACGATTCCAATGACAACGACCCTCTTTCTGCAGATGAGCGTGCAGATCCTCTTGGATTGCCCCAATAATTAATTTGATGAATTTAATACAACCTAAGACTAATATTTCTCCTACCTGTACTGCTTCTACAATCTCTGACTATCTACCTTTGGCTTCCTCTCTACCCTCCTTCTCATGCAAACTGAACATTGGCACTATCAACTGCCGCGGTCTAGCCAAAGCAGCAGATATTTCTTCTTGTAACCAGTTTATTTGATACCTACAAACTCGCTCCCTAGATCTGCTTGCACTTCAAGAAACGCATGCAACCTCGACATTGCAAGACACCTTTCACTCCCAATTTCAGGCCAAAACTCGCTTCTGGTCCGTTCACTGCGGTCTCGTCTCATTCTCCTCTGATATCATTCTTAGCAACTCGTTTACTAGTCCTTGTGGCCGCATTATTTCCAGCACTGTCTCTCATGTGACTAATTGATTTGATCCTTTTGTAATTACAGTTATCTATGTTCCTCCCAATATAAGACAAATTCTCCTTCTTGTCCTCTCTCTGCACTTAACTTCCATCCATATTTCCTTCCTCTCCATGCCGTACAGTCATATTGGGTGATTTCAACTACACTTATTCTCCTGCTTCCCCAAGGGTTCGGCAGGCGCCTCACAATTGGCTCAAGTACATCAATGAGTTCTTTACTGATGGGATCACCCCACCTGAACAGATTTCCAATACGACTTTCTATTGAGGACTATCCCAATCGTGTATTGATTATCTGTTTGTCTCCTCTGATATGGCTTCTTCCATCCACTTTGATCACAGTAGAACAACTTATGTCCAACCAGCTTGGTCTGATCATTTTCTATTGTCTGCTCAATTACAATTATCCCCAGCCACGCATGCTTCCTTGTCGGTCAATGTGGTCGGAAAGAGGTTGTGGTGTGCCCACCCTTGGTTGGTGAATAATCGTCTCTTTTGTACACACCTCACCCAATCTCTACATAGTTGCGTTCACAACTTTGCTCCAGGACTATATCCTGCCACCAAATGGGAAGCACTTAAGGCTACTACCGCAAAAGTGGCTAGAGCATTTAGTCAACATCATGCCTTTACTCTCTCTCATGCAGAAGATCTTCTTCATCGAAAACATGTGGGTATCACCAAAAAGCTAGTGACTGATCCTTCACTTTTACCTGTCCTCTCTCCGCAATTGCTCATTGTTGAGCACCAACTCTCACAACTGCAGCAATACCATGTGGAATACCTGGCACTACGTTCTGGTCTACGGTGGTGTGAACTTGGAGAATCCTCATCTGGATATCTGAAACAATCTATTGCTTCTTGGGCCTCTCAAAAAATGATCCCTCCTCTGTGGAATCCGGCAACCTCTTCTATCTGCACATCTCAAGAAGAAATGCTAGAGACTACCACTCAATTTTATTCTGATCTTTACTCACCCAATGATGTTGACCAGGCTGCAATTGACAACCTTTTGAACGTCCTTCCCACACACATCCACATCTCCTCGTCTGCAGCAGAATCTCTGGTTGCACCCATTACGTACAACGATTTGCTGGATGCTTTTTCGCAATCCCCTCAAAAATCCTCTTCTGGCATGGATAGTCTCCCATACGAACTGGTTCGACTGGTGGTTACAGATCTGGCTTGTCATGATATTGCGGTTGAAGTCTACAATAATGCTCTCTCTTTGTCTGATATTCCTCCCTCTTGGTTACACTCATGCGTTTCGCTTCTGCCTAAAAAACCTCCACTCGATTCCCTGAAAAATTGGCGCCCAATCTCACTCATCAACACAGATGCAAAAGTCTTCACCTGCATTTTGAGTGCTCGCATGCTCAGTACCGTGGCAACCATCATCACTCTGTATCAAACTGGTTTTCTTCGCGGCAGGTTCATTGCTGACAACGGCTTGTTGATGAAGCTCATTCTTGAGCATACTCGCAACACCCAATCCTCCAGTATTGGCATTCTCCTAGATCAGAAAAAAGCATATGATTGTGTTCACCCATCTTATCTTCGTGCTGTTCTTACCTGCTTCAGTTATCCAGCCTCCCTGATCCAATGTGTTGATAGTCTTTTCTTTGGCACTGAACTGCACATCAACATCAACGGATTCCTCACTGACACCATCCCACAATACTGTGGCCTCAAACAGGGCGATCCCCTTAGCCCTATCCTTTTTAATCTGGCCTTTGAACCACTTCTTTGGAACATCCTTCTGGACGTGCAACTTGAAGGTTTTCATTTGCCACGCCCTTCTGTAGCCACTGCTTCTGCCACCTCAACCGACATTAAACTTCTAGCCTATGCTGACGATGTTATATGTCTTCTCAACTCTCCCACTGAGCTGTCCCGGTTACATCACCATCTGTACACCTATTCTCAAGCCTCCAACGCACTGGTGAATTTCCATAAAACCGAAGCTATCTCTCTCTCAGGATCATCATCTATATATCAATCGATCTGGCTCCCTGCTTTAGCTGAGCATAACATATTCAGGAGGCACGACTGCAACTCTCCTGCCCCCATCCAATATCTTGGCTTCCCACTGTTCTCCTCTTTACCACAATACGATCTCTTCCTGAACGATCTTTTAGAACAAATAAAACTTGGGTGCCAAACGCATCAATGGCATGGACTGTTGGTTCGAGGTCGCTCTACTGTTCTCAACTCCCTGATTCTCAGTCGTCTCTGGCATGTGCTCCACGTGATATCAACACCTAAATCCTTCTTCAAATCCATTCAATCCATCATATCCCAATTCATTAATTTTCGCATTTTTCCCCGGATCAGCTTTGCTACAGCTTGCTTGCCACGCTCTCAGGGCGGACTTGGTCTGCTGTATCCAGAATTGCAACAAGGTGCTCTACAATTGCGTTGGCTTGGTCCCATCCTCTCAACTTCTTCACCGCAAATATGGTCTTGTCGGTCCTTTTCACGTTCCATTATCCTTCCCTGTCTGCTTTCCTTTTTACAGCACCATCTCCAACATCACAGCAATGGCTATGGCTGTGACCCCAAAGATCTGGATCACCAGTTGCTCTTCTTGTTCCCACAACGTTGTCCTCTCATACTCCGAACTGGACAAAGCTCCCTGTCCCTACTCCTTCATGCCTTGGAACAATTGCCACATACATTTGTGGGTATAATAGCCACTGCGGCTACTTGTTTGGAGATCCCAATTTCTTACATAATCACTTCCACACCACCTGCTACACTTCCACAATCAATTGCTGACCTCCCTATCTCTGTCGCATGCACCTACAATCTTCACCACTTTCACTGTTTGCGTCCTAAACATTGACAGGAATGCATTGTTTACCCGACGTTGTCACGTAAGGTCCAAGCTCTTGTCAGTGACCGTGATACTACCGTGTCCTCTTTCTTTACACACGTCTTTACAGCTCCCTCTAGTGGAACTTTCATCACCCCTTCTCCCACCGCAATATTTGATCACACCTTCATCAACGTGCGTCCATTTCTGCTTTCTCTTGGGCTGGTCCCCCAATCTTCTGATCCCTCCAGACTCAAACTGACAACAAAAATGTATTGCCAACAATGCTATCATCTCTCTTCTGCTCCCGTTTCTGTGCCTCCTCCAGTATCCATTGACTGGCCTGGCTTCTGGCTCCTCTCCCTGTCCCATACTTGTTGCAACATTTGGTATTGTTACCTTCACCAGAAAATTCGGCACAAGTCACTCCTTCATCGTTTCATTCCTGCATCCAACCCTTCCCCTGCCTGTCCTATCTGCTTCGACCCATTAGAATCTTTAGAACATTTCTTTTTCTCCTGCCCAATATAACTTCCTATATGGCATTATGTATGGTCCACATATATCAATTCGTCTCAAACTCCGGTCACTTTTCCTTCCCTCCAGCTCGCCCTTACTTCTCTTGTCCTTCCTGATAAATCTTGTCCCAATGCTATGTTTGCAATAGCAGCTGCCCTTGAAGCTATTTGGCGCTCACATTGGGCTTTCATCTTCAATGATACCCCCTTCCATGCCAGCCAAGTGGAATATCTTATTGACAAACTCTTCCTCAAAGCACGGCAGGAATCTTTTCTCACTGGAAAAAAGTAGAGAAATACTGACGTGTATATATGGGCAAATGGTACTGGAATAACGTGATATATCATAGTTGATATTTTTTTCCACTAGGTTTTAAGGTTATCTAGCACTGTATGTGCGAGACTTACAAACACTACAGTATATGTAGATGGGGGGTTCCACAAGTAAGGTTTGGTAGCACTTTTGATATACTCGTTATGCTTAATAAATAAATAAAAATATTTAAAACTACGGATTTATCTCGGTATTCTTGACACAGAACAGGAAAGGTCAAAGACGGATTACATCATGTATATTGCTCCAATGGTTTATCTGTACTACACCTCACCTTTACTGACCACTTTTACTGACCACCTATACTGACAGTTCTTTAAAACCTCCTATCATCAACAGTAAAAAAACACGTCTTTAAAATTATGGACCAGTAATATGTTCTTTATTTATTTGGTTTCCCGTTCTTATTAGGTTGGTAATGGTTTACACTTTTATTTTTATTGGAAAGAATAGAATGTTTCTAGATTTCAAATCTAATAAAGCTATTCTATATTCTCAAATACTTCTTGCTCGGCAAGCTTGTTATATTTGGGATGAAAAATTTTCTACAAAAAACAAATATCTGAAGAAAATGAGGTGCTTGTTATCTTTTTTTAGGGGTAAGAGCAGTACTCTTTGAGAATAGATAAAACATTAGTGATGGAAGTGCGTGCGTGTTTTATACTGCAAATTTTATGCACTAATTAATACTTACATTGGAAGTACCCAATACAAATGGACAAAGAAATAAAACATTTACAGTAAAGCACGGGATTATGATTTCTTTGACTATAAAACGATAGGAAAGAATTAATTTTTGTGAATTGCGTAATAGAATAATTGATTTACATACCAAAGGCAAAGGATTTCTTTGCAGACCAAGATATTATCTGTAAAGCAATAATATCGTCTCTAGTAGAGAATATACATTAATATACAGTATAAATAATATTATTGTATGTATAGAAGTAAATAAAAGGCTTACCATGGCAATGACGGTAGCATGGGATGGAAGTTCTTGAGGAATGGCACGTTTGTAAGAAGGATGTTCATCTATAATAGAAATTATATTCAGTTAGATAAATATTAAAAAGAAATAGATTAAAATAAAACAGAATATTACCGTGTCAATATCTGTGTTTGATTGTAGAGAGTATTTTTGGCGATGTGGCCTATATTAAAGAAAGAAAAAAGTCAGAATGATTGTATGGAATGATTGCATAAAGTATATTTACTAACCCTGGCTAATCCGGATGACTGTTGTGAAGATGGCGCATCAGAATGAGATGAAGAGTGAGTTTCTATGACATTAAAGTATATTGTTATTTTTTAGTTATACATAAAGAAGTATATATTTCTTTTAAAACAAAGAAAGTGCCTTACTATAAAACCTTGCGAGTGTAAAGAGTGAAGAGAGAGAAACAGAGAGAATACCTATGACAGACAAAAAAATTAATTCTTTTGTTCTTTGTAAAGAAGTATTTTGAACCAAAAACAATCTTACCAGAAAAATTTGCAAATATAACAAGAATTGAAAAGAGAGAGAAAAGAGGGAAATAATAAAAAATGAATAAAAAAAGTAAAAAAAAAAATCTTAAAAAAAAAGTGTGTTTAAAACAAAAGACTAAAATAATTTTATCAAGTCACAAAGCAATATGAAAACCGATTTACATTCCAGTCATTACAAGAAGTATTAATAGAGATTTGCATATCAAGTATATTTTGAATTATAAAATAATCATACCTTTCATATAATACACTTTCCCTTGCTCTTACTCTCTTGCTACTTACTACACTTATACTCCCAAATCAATACACTTGTTCTAACAATTCAAGTATGTAAACTTGATACGATTTATTTTTAATTAAATTTACATAAATTTAATTGTAGAATGACAGCAATAATAATAATATAATCTGAAACTAATCATTATAACCTTTCATTTTATTATATTCTGTAGACAATGACTAACACAAGACGTGAACGCGCAATTGCCCTTCGTCCTGTTGAGATTACCAATCAGCAGCTTATGGAAATACTTTCTACTGTGAGAGCTGATATGTCTACCGTAAAAGGACAGATCGGCAATGTTGAGCAAACTCTGACCAACATGAATGGCAGAATTGGCGTTCTTGCCACCACCAGCACCAACACCATCAGTGCCATAGATAGTTTGGCCAGAACTCCCCTTGCTGCTCCTGTGAGAGCCAAACTCACTGTTGCTGCACCTGTTGTCATCTCCAACCATGAGCCTACCCGTGAAGAATCTAATGCAGTTTATGTAAGTAACATATTATAAAATATTTTATCAATTCATTTTCTCATGATTTATTTAGCAGGCTCATATTCACAACCTTATGTGGAAATCCAAGCTTAGCTTGAGAACGCCAGAAAATATCCTGGCCAACAACCTCAAGCCCAGATGGGATACAAATGTTGCTTTCAACAAATCTCCCAACAGGGAGATAGCTGAGAGACTTCTTTCTAACCTTGAGCGCAGGTTTGGTTCCTCTAGTATGAGATGGAGTGACCTCCGAAAGAGGTTGCACACCAACTTCACTAGTAGAACTCGTCGTGAGAGAATGTCTGATGATGAGATAGTGGAAACAAACGCTCTTACACGAAGAGCAGCCTGTGCAGATGATGTGAGTATTATGCTAATATATATAGTTTATAGTTGAAAATTATAAATAAAAATAACAAATTAACAAAACTTATTACTAGAATGAGTGTCACTGTATACTGGCATACAAAGACAATAAGGAGGCAATCGATCTTGTAATGTTCAGAGACTGTGCCAACACTCTCCAAAAAGCAGTAATGTCAGATGGAGAGTCTGCCGATGAAATGGACGAGGATGGCATAAAACATGTCATTCATATTGTACAACCAGCCTGGAGAAGCGATGAGATAGATTAATTTGGAGTAATACTTTTGTATTGGTGTATTATTATATTGAGTGAATTATTAACGAATATATTTCAGTGCAACCGTTTCATTGCACTTGTTGACACTTATGCTGTCCAGGCCATGGGGTCAAGTGCTAATCAAAGGATCTGTAGGATCACTACTAGTGTGTCCAACTCAGCAGTCCCAGATAACATTAGCCCCAATTTTTCTCGGTGGGCTCTTAGAGACGGGCTCTAAATAAAAAAAATGTTTCTCTCTTTTTATCTACGTATTACTTTTTACATACACAATACTATCAATATATATAGGGAATTTGTTCTGTTTTTTTTTGTATAAGAAAAGGAAATTCAAGTGGGGTTTTTTTATTTTAAGCATAAAGCTTTTTTGGCAAAGCAATTACTAACATCTTACTGACATTTCTACTTGTAGTAATCCTGGCTGTAGCAATCTCTAAAAAGATGCGGTGCACAGGTACAATTCAATGGCGACTATCGGGGGAGAAGGTGGGGAGACAAAACTCAAGACCGTCATCCTCACGCGATCTATCAGAGGAAGTATTAAACCACTTGATATATGCGAATACATGATGATCATGAACCATGCGAGTCAGGTGGAGATTGCTGTTAGAAGGGTGTGTAAAGGAGTGTGTGAAGAGATACTGTATTTGTCCAGCATAGGCTAGGGTATTTCTACCGTCACTACTAATAAACATTACGTGGACAAGAGAACCACAACTAGCTGAACCGTTTTTACCACGGTACTGTTGACCAAGTAAGTCAATGAACTTCAACTTTGTGATTTCATTGTCAACAAAGGAGTTTGTGAGCGTGGCATATTGGTAACTGACAAGGTCAGGAAGATCATAGGATGTTTTGTAGTGCTGAAGCAGATGGGCATAGTCGGTTTCATCCATCAGTGATGATTTTTTTAGCTGAAGAGGAAAAGTCGAAGGAGGGAGAGGTTTGTTACCCTTTGGAGGAAGATGTGGGTTGGACGATGCTAGTAAGAATAATTGCAATCGGAATGGATGGGAGGAGAGAGTAATGACTGTGATGGTAGGTGTGAATTTTGGAGAAAGCTTTGAGAGAATGTTGAAAAAGGGGACGTGGCTAGAACTTTTCAGAACAGTATTGACATAGTCACCCTTGAATGCGTTTTGAACAAAACTTCTCATATATGTTGCCTCAAAACTATATTTTCCTTTTGTCTTTATATGCTTCAACAGGCCATTATATCTCTCAAACCCAAAGAGCCAGTAACCATACACGGGTCGAAAATTACGAATGGTCTCACGAAGGTGGAGGTGCAGGTGCATGTTGCAGGTGAGGATGGTGGGAGTGTAGAGTTTGGTAGCCTTTTTGCAAAACATTTCCAGATAGTCATGGGCACTGTTCACTTCATCAAATGTGATGCTTGGCTTGATAAGATAGTGGCATGCACGGACGAAATTCATCCAGTTGTTGTACATTTCAAATGGTAGAACACCATGCAGCAGAACAGGAGAATACACCAGTACCCAGGATTTCCAGTCATCGGCTTTCATGTAAGGAAAGCCTTTTCCAATCTTCGATGTCAGCTTTGTATAATCCCTCGGAAGGACCATTGTCTCTGCGATTTTTTTCATGGCAGCAAACTCTTTGGCTCCAATCGTTTTCTTATTGACCCACCGGTCCATCATTCTCTTTGGCATCCCCAGGAATAAATTATGCTAGGGATCAATGATCGTTCCACGTACTAGATCAAAGTATCCAAGGCATTGCAACTGCGACCATCGAACAACATATTTGACCTCCAGCTGGTGCCTTTCTGAGGGTGTACTCGCACTCTTCCACTCCTCAGCATGCAACCTGTTCTCTACACTGCTACGAATATTCCAAAGTGAATAATCGAATCCACTGAAGTCCACCTGATTTGAGTTGGGCAATCTGGGGAACTGGGTTGTACACTTGTAGCACGCACATGTACTATTGTGGGCTGTAAATCCACTTGTTTTCCTGGCAGCAGGGATGTCACATGCAACCATCAGCAAGGCAGCATGGACATTAGCACCAGAAGGGCACTCGTAGGTTGGGACTCGCATTCCAACATACAACTGTTTCATCTCGTCTACCATGGGCTTGAGATAGTTATTTATCTCCTTGCATCTTGGCTCCTTGGGACCAGGCATCAAACCAACCAGAATTGTTTTCTCAGGTTTGAACTGTACCTCTCGAGGCAGATTATTTACAACCAAGTAAATTGCACCAGAAGAGTAACTAACTCCATTGAACGGCTGGAACCAGTCTATGTTGAGTGTCAACATCAATGAGCGAGGACAAGCAACAAACGAGACAACACTTGCATCCTTCAGCTCTTTCCACATTGCTCCATCGTATATGTCGCACATAGTATCAACAATCTTAAGCTCTGTGTTCCAGTGACGGATTTGCTCTTCAAAGCCAGGACAAAGGAAAAGAACAGACAAAGCTTGCTTGAGGGACTGGTACAAGTATGCTCGCTTTGATACCAGTGCATCTGAAGTTGACTCTTTCATCAACTTACAACCACAAGGAGAGCATGCACCAACATTTGTGAAAACATAATGGGGAGGTACGGACATGTTTTCTTCATAGATGCAATGGCAGTTTGGACATGACACAAATCGCTTGATGCCTTTGGTGATAGATGAAAAGCCAGTCATTTTATGTAGTCCAGCCAGACTTTCAGAAAGTTGGAAATCTTGTCTATAAATCTTCAAGAGCTTGTTGATGAACTCAATCAAGACAACAGAACCCTTATTGACCACGTAACGAGATGCAAACAGTACTGTAAAAGTAGCAATAAATTTGTGCACTGGATTCTTGGGCATACCAGAAGCAGCAAAAGGGTCTTTTTTTTTAAAAAAAAATTAACACACATTTTTTTTTAGTTTTTTTTTATGTATTTAAAACTGACCCTCATTGTTAAACTCTTTAACATAAATCTCGGCAGTGTCTTCTTCGCCATTGTCATCACTGCCATTGTCATCGGTCGTGTCAGACTCATCACCATTGTAGTCATTACCAACAAAGACGTCATTGTCAAACGTTGAGACGGCATCCGAAATAGATGAGTTGGTCTGACCATCCATTACTTCCACAGAATTGGATTGATACGTTGGGATTACTACAAATATGGAATATAATAGTTTATTACTGGTTTTTCTTCTTCGTTTCAAATAAAAAATGTCTTACTTTCAGTATCTACTTCCATGCTTCTCTTTTCAGCTATGTTTTTTAAAATAATAAAAAATAAAAATAAAAGCGATTATTACTCGGTAGACAGATAACAGCACTGAATAAATTATACAACTCTTGAATATCTCAGTACCTTCAAATCTAGCTCATTTATCACTGCAAAAACAGATCAATTTCACATATGTAAAGTATACCTAAGTTCTGATAGACAGAATAGGTAAAATTGTAGTTCAGCTCACTTTTGTGAGTAAAGTATTTAAATAGTATTTTAAGCTACTCTATTGGCTACTGGCAGCTGTGTAGCATTAGAATGCAACATCAAACTCAAATAAATTAAAAGTGTGTTTTCTTTGAAGTCTCTTTCTTTACTATTAAATACTATTGTAAACCTTTCTTTTCATTTTAAAATGGCTCCTATTCGCAAACCAACTGTTAGAAAAGAGTGTCGATGCTCTATCTGTAAAAGCAAGACACTAGGATTCGATCGTGTATCTGTTAAAACATTTAAACGTCATCAAGAAAAAGATAATCATGATATTACACATGTTCAAACGCGTACAGTTAATACATTTGCTTTACTTTACTTTATTTTATTTTATTTTATTTTATTTTATATCATTTCCTTTTTTATTATTTTATATAATAATAATAATAATAATAATAATACTAACACTAATAATAATAAATGTGTAGCCCATGAAGACACATGCGATACAATTAGTAGTGCTGTTTCTGAGCCTGTAAATCAAGAGGAAGATAGTTTTGAATTTGAACAGGAAGATGTTGAAATGAATTCTGAGCTTAGAAGTAAGAAAACTTATTTTGTTACATTGATTTATTTGGGTCTAACATTCCGCTTTTGTAGACCTAAATGACACAAATGACATTTTGGATATACGGACAAGAAACTAACCTTTCTCTGAAACGGATTGCGTGTTTGGCCCTGAAGATAATATCCAGTATACAAGTGACACTTACAAAGAAGAAGAAGAATATGAAGATGAATCCGATGTTGAGATAGACAATGATGAAGGTAGGTACACAGCTTTAGATAATATTATATCCTAGAAAATAGAGAGTTAATCAACGTTCTTTAAAAAAAAATCAAATTAAAGATTCTTCATTGGAATCAATCTCGGAATTGAATTTGATTCACCAATTCATTGTTATTTTGGTTGCTCTTTTTGTCTCGCTATACGTCGTGAATGAAGGAGCTGTAATCCTGATTGCCATAATCAACAAGATACTGCAGTTTTTGTTTGACCCATTCCGCCTTCCAGTGAGTGTTGCTGGCCTCAAACGTTTGGCCGGATTTGAAGCGTTGACAAGTGGTGTCAAGAAATATGTTGCATGTAGCAAATGCCATGCCATATATGATAATAAAGCCGCCCCTTTGTGTTGTACATCACCCAATTTTGGTAAAACCTCCTTGTGTGGCAACAGCTTGTTTAAGTCTGGTCCTGGGTCAAAAGCACCCCAAAAGACATATGTATTCCACTTCGTCAAGAAAGCTCTAAAGATGTTTTTTCAACGCCCAGATTTTGAAAACAACATCAACTCATGGAACCGCGGCCCGAAAATGGATAGCACTTTGTTTGACGTGTATGATGGTGCGATGTGGAATGAGATAGTAGACGTAGATGGTATACCTTTTGTTGATACCAAGCGATCACTCATGCTTATGCTGAACATTGACTGGTTTCAGCCATTCGATGGTGTTACCTACTCCTGTGGTGCCATATATCTTGCAATCAATAATCTTCCACGCAGTGAGCAGTTCAAGAAGGAGAACGTGATTCTTGTTGGGTTAATGTCAGGGCCTAAAGAAGCGAGCACTTCTGACATAAATAACTATCTGAAACCGCTTGTGGATGAGTTGATGGAGCTGTACAAAGGTATTAAGATTAAGACTTACCAATGTCCAAATGGTACTTCTATCTGAGCAGCCCTTCTCATGGTTGCCTGTGATTGACCTGCTTCAAGGAAAGTATGTGGGTTCACATCCCATACAAGTACAAATGCATGCCACAAGTGTAAGCGTCAATTTTCAAGGTTGGCTGGAACGAGTTCTGTTGATTATTCTGGATTTGATTTCTCAAAGTGGCTCCTTCGCACTAAGAATGACAATCGTAAGAATGCAGAGATCTGGAGAAATGCAACCAAACCAACTGAGAGACAGCGTCTGGAAGTTGCACATGGTGTTCGCTGGTCCAAACTGCATCATCTTCAGTACTTTGACATTGTCCGCTGCACGATCATTGATCCCATGCACAATCTTTTCTTAGGCACTGCCAAAAGAATGCTGGAGAGATGGGTTGCGGATGGATTAATTGACGATAAAAAACTCGTTGCCATGCAAAAGGCTGTTGAGAAGGTTTTGTTGCCGCCTGATTACACGTCACTTGAGACAAAGATTGCCAAGGGATTTCCCTATATGAAGGCTGATGAGTGGAAGTCTTGGTGCCTTGTGTACTCTCCTGTGGTTCTAAGGGATGTGTTGCCATTGCCAGAGTTCAAGAACTGGATAGAGTTTGTTAACGCATGCAGATACTTCACCAAGCCTAGTGTTTCTGAAGAAGACATTGAGAAAGGACACAAATGCTTAGAAGAATTCTGTAAAGGGTGTGAGACATTGTACGACCTGGACCTTCTCTCTCCCAACATGCATCTGCATCTGCACTTACGCCAAACAATGATTGACTTTGGGCCCGTCTATGGCTATTGGCTTTTCAGCTTTGAAAGGTACAATAGTGTCCTGAAAAATATCAAGACCAATCGAAGAAACAGATTCGAATCGACATTTATGAGACAGTTTATTGAAGAGTTGTGGAAGGGAGATTTTGTTCGTCGACTTCTGAAACCTATGCATGCACTTGCATGTTTTGAAATTTTCGATAAGTTCACCACCAACAACAACAACACCAACACCAACACCAACACCAACACCAACACCAACACCAACACCAACACCAACACCAACACCAACACCAACACTAACACCAACACCAACACCAACACCAATACCAACACCAATACCAACACCTACCTCTCTCACTCTTTCTCAATTTCCGAATATCTTGAAGCTTCACAGAATCTTTCAATGACAATTCGTAGGAACGAGCCCCTGCCACCATCCGCCTTGCCATTGAAAACAAGACCATTATTATTTATGCCAAAACATGAATATGATTGTCTTGTAGGATACTATCAAGCTGCGTACAAGAATCCACAGATCTCAGGTTGCAAAGATGTAATTGATGACTCACCTTTCGTCAATGACTGGATCGAAATGGTGAAGTCCATTGATCTTCTTGGGCAAAGCTACAAAGGGTGCATTGGCACGAATGGCTGCTGATCATACATACAAGCATATTTCACTGAACGAACTGGGTCGGAACATGCGTATGTTGGAGAGATTCAGTACCTTTTTGTTCACAATTTTAGGCCAACTGTTTCTTCTCTAACATGTAGAAATCCCCATAGTAGTCAGCATGTATTTGCATTTGTCAAATAGTTCAAATCCACTTCGGACAAAACAAGAGAATTAGAAGGAGTTGAGTTGTTACAGAATGAATTCTACAAGCAAGATTTTCAAAGCATCCTGCCAGTACATCGGATTCTCCTAACAGTTGCAATAGTAGATTACAAAACTACAAAAAACGTCAACAAAAAACTCGCGATTTCTTTACCAAAAAAAATTTACTATTAATTCTCATACACACACTTACTTATATATTTATCCTCTATTATTATTATTTCCTTTAATCAATTCAATTTCAATTATTACTATTTGGCCCTACAACAGAACATAGTAAAAAAGAAAATGTTTATTCATTGTTGATTGCCCAATGAGGCAATGACTGGGACAGGGTGGCAGGAACAGAGCAAGGCAACAATGTTGCTAGATATCTGTTCATTCTTGGCTTTGTTCCCACACCCGCATTTGACACGTGATGGGTACGATTAATGTCGTCAACCATTGTCAACAATCTTTTCAACTGTATTTATTTTTATTAGTTCTTTATTTTTCTTGTTATAAAACTTATTTATTTATTCTAAATATTATTTATCTCTTCACTTCTCCAAGTGGGGCGAGCCACATGCAAACACCGTCGTGGAAGATTGTCCACAATCTCAATATCCGACTCACCATCAGACATGGCATCCTTCTGAAAGAGTTTGAGATAGGCCTTCTCAACAGGGTTTCCAGTCTTATATCCCATTACAGCATCAATGGCTACCCAGTTGTCCATGTATGTCGACTTGCGTCAGATAGACATCTGGTTATATAGATTGTAGCTTGAGAAAATAGTAATATACCAATTAATTTTTATATAGTATATACAAACCTGAAGAGTATGACTGTTTGCTCTCCCCTTGCTGTTTTTCTTGGCCTTCTGCTCAGGAGACTCATGAAAAGTACGATGACTGTGCTTGTACCTGTTCTTTATTTTATCACTTATCACCCATGGGTGAGTACCAGCTAGACGAGTCTGGGCGCTAATGTAGCTCTTCAAGTAGTTGATAACAGCTACATTATCGCGGTGGTTAATCTTCTCATTCAAGTTCCACTTCTTCTTACTCTCGTTCTCAGCAACAAGAGCAGAGCCGTCAGACTCGAACTTCCAGTCCCACAACTTTTCCGCAAAGATTTCCTAAATACAGGTTGTTTAATAAGTTGTTGATACTAACATATATTAATATTAATTACCAAGATAATGACAGAAACCTCAGCATCACTGAGGGAGGTCTGGGGAACATAGGATGGCATCAGAGATGGTCCTAGACTAGTTATACGAGTCTGATCGTTGGCATAGGCAGTTGCAAAGTCTGCAAATGCTGTATGTGTCTTTCCAGACGTGTCAACAACAACGCCCATCCTGTTTTTAAAGGCTGTCATGTTGCTATTGACAGCAGCAATGTCATCCTTGACACCGTTGATACTGTTGTTTACTTTGTTAAACATTTCAACAATTTCCACGTATTGCTGATCTTGGATAGTTGTGGATGAGAAACTGGGGGCAATTTCTTGAGGTCCAACACGGCCAGCCAAAACACGGTTTGCAGAGGTAGATATACTTGCAGATGCTTTTCCTTTTCCTTTACGGTCTGTTTTTCTGCTGCTATTGGAAGGCATTTTTTCTTTATTGTATTTTTATTAAAGTTTTATACATTAATAAATTATTAAAATAAAATAAATGTATGGGTTGAAATATATTTATTTTTGTTTAATCAAAGATATATATACAAAATAAGTTAATATAAAGTAGATTTATGAAATAGCTGAGAAAAGGAAGGGATTATATATTATTTTCTATAAAATCCTTTATAATCTTGAATAACTTCTTTAATATTCAACATAGAACTTAGTGTTACAATATAATTTCGGACTATTCATTTTATTACTATTGTATTTTACCAGAGTCAATTCTCATCTAAACTGCCTTCTGATTGAAAGCCCACTTTTTTTTCTTTTTTTTCTTTATTTTTATCTTATTTCTTTTTTTCCTGTTTCTTTTCCACTTTATTTACTTTTATTCTGGTTGATGTATTTAAGTTCACACCCTGGTAAGCAATTTGTTTTTATTATTCTACTGTTATATTTATTCTTAATGTTTTTTCTTTTATTATTATTGTGGTTGCTGATAGTATTACAAGTCTTTGCCGTGTTGATTAATGGACAAGAACAAAAAGGTAAAACGCGGTTATTGTGTATGTGTTTCTTTATTAATTATTTTCTTTTTCTCTCCTCAGCTCATCATAAAGACATACCAACAGCAGAAATTTATCCAGTAAGTCTGAATAATATATTTATTTATTTTATTCTTATATCTAATTTTGTTTATTTTATTCTTATATCTAATTTTGTTTATTTTCTATCTCTGTTAGTACTGCCAACATTTCTATGTACCTGATTGAATAGCTTGTCTTTGAAAACCGGTTTTATTTGGTAAGTAATAAAGCCAAAATTTATTCCATGATCTTTACTAATGCATTTTATTAAACCTTTCAGAACAACAGTCAATGTGCACTATGCCTGGTTCTGACGAAAGTACTGGTAAGTAACCATATTATTTAAATTAAAGAAAAATAAATATTTATATAATCTAATATAATTGAATAATATTTTAGCCTTCTCTTACTAGTGAAATACCGTAAACACGCGTTTCTTTTTAGAATTCTATCGTATTGGAAGTATTTATATATTATAATATATGAAAGGGTTTGGTATTATATTAATTATGTAGTAGCTTATATATTAGATTAGACTATATATTGTCAAGCCATACATATTATAAGCAAGAAGCTTTTTTTTTTAAATAAAAACAATTTTTCCAAAACAATCCCTATAAAAATATTTGAAATGAAGTGCAAGAAGTATTGCAGTAGTATGGCATGTGTGAATCCTATAGTTTAGCCATGCATAATTGTCCAATAAAAGTGTTTAGATTCGGAAGACAGTATACATAAATCCTGTTTCTTCTGTTAAATGATCCAATAGAATATTATTATTTCAGTAGATAGTTTTCTCTGTTAAGTAATCCAATAGAATTCTACTATTTCAGTAGACAGTTTTCTATCAAAAATAGATTTTTTTATTGGAATCTCTGTTTCAAATCAAGTTTAACTTAATATAACATCCAAAAAAAAGATGCCATAATTTGATTATTCTCTCTGCGATTAAATAGTTTAAAAGAACCTTACATCTCAATAAGTTCAGAAGTTACATGGACAACTCACAGGTAACATAACATATTGCGAACGGAATCTATAAATGCCAAATTCCAGAATTTAATTATTCTGTCACTCAGAATTTCCCATACTATTGCATATGTGTAGAAATCTAATTCCCCAGTGTATTATGACGCTGAGCAGTACGTCTCGATACTCGGGAAACTCCTTGATCATTATTATTGCATCTGGTGCAGTGGCAATCAGTGTTGTGCATTTGAATAGAAGGAAACATAGTATATGTATTTTGAATTATAAAATAAAAAAGGAAACAAGAGTGCTACAAATATTTCATTTGATACGGTTTTATAGTAAACCAAAATGTATTTTTTATTTTATTTTTATTTTATTTTTATTTAAGCTAATAGAATACATCAAAACTACACCCTCAACTTGATGAAAAAAACTGCTGAGATGAAAAAAAATCCTGACATATCCACTATGATCTGACTACCTGGACAATATGTTAATTGTCTTTATTTTTTCAGTGTCTCTCTTCTGACATCCCCCATGCACCTCTCCCTTTTTTCTCACTTGATTGACCACTTCTCTGCACCTCTCTTTCCCTCTACTCTCGAACCTTGCTTCACTTTTTACTTGTTTTCAACTGACTTCTCCATAAAACCCTAAAAACAAAAAAAAATTAAATTATTTTAAAATAAAAAAAAACAAAAAAAATTATAAAAATATGTTGCTACCTTTGCCCTCACAATATAAAACCCCAAAAACACAGTTTGTGACTATCCCAATGATATTCACTTAATAAACTTTGAGACTATGTCTCCTTATAAACAAAAAATATATAAAGATATAACGTGATAAAGTATTGTGATTGTCATTGGAGTTCTTATTGATTGAAAATTAGTTTTATAACAAAAATCTTAAAATCTGTTCTTTTATTTTTAATATATATAATGTAAGTTGATAAAAGTTACTTTAAAAAATTATAAATATATTTTATATATATTTATTTGTATACAGTGTTATATGTGGGATACTTTAATATCCGATATCATATACAAACCCAGACAGAAGTACCTGTCAAAGAGGTCATTATAAATGATTATCCAATATGAAGTCCTATCTGAAACATAAGAGCAATGTGTCAGATCCATTATTGGATCATCTTCAAGAAGTACTTAAACTATTATTGCAAAGCCGTTACAATGACTCATATCCAGGGTGACTGGATATATCTCAATAAATATAAATATCATAGATAAAATAACTTTTATTAAGACAATTCGATTTGACTTGAACTTTTAATAAACACAATAAAAAAGAGTCTCAAAGTACTTATTGTTCCACCTTTCTATATACAAATATAATATACAGAAACTATTATTTTATTTTTTAAAGTAAATTCTTTTCAAATATGTATATTATATATGTCTTTTTAATAAATACAAAAATAAAATATCAATAAAAACATGTTTGATATTTTTTTATACTAAAATTCAAGTATATAAAAAGAGTTAATAAGAAATAATACTTTTTATATTTGATATTTTTTAAGTTTCTTAAGCATAAAATTTTTGTTATATATATTAATGATATATATATACAGATTATATGAGACAGCTTCTCAATTTTTTTTATTTTTTTAAAACTAAATTAACACTTATTGTAAAATTTATTTGTTATTTAATTTATATATCAATTATTAAAAGAAACTGACTGCATTAATAAGAAGTATTTTGAAATTTTATTTATCTGGTTTTACAAAAAATTAGTTTTTTTTAATATTTGCTTTATGTATTAATGTAGATATTATATTTATATATTTATTTAAAATAATAGTATAAGAATATTATATAATATTGGTTTTTTTATTCTATATAAAAGCATCTTTAGCAGTCGGCTAACTTTTATTTTATCTGGGATCAAAAATTGTCACTTTTACATAAAAAAAAGCCACCTCGCCCAGCAGTTAATTTTTTCTCTAACTTTTAAGTAAATTTTGAGCGGAGTTCCTTTCCCCCCTTAAATCACAATGAACACTAAAAAGCAACTCGAAAAATACTTAAAGCAGTGCAGAGAAGAAGAAGAAGAAGAAGAAGTCAATCTGTATGAGTACATTGTTGGAAAATGTATGAAGGTTGTGGGAGAGGCAGCTCTAAACTTTGACAAGTCGACAATCAGAAGAGGTTCTGTAATTGGGTGTTTGACTATTGACTGAGATTACTTGGCTGGGTACGAAAGACTAATGAGCAATTACTTTTCTGGTGAAGGCTTGGTGTGGTAGTCCAGCCACTCGGATGTTGGATTTATTACATATAAAAACATATTCATATTGAGATAGCGTAGTAGCTATTATCTTGTCAGTATAAAATATATATAAACCATTAAGTAATCAGCCCAATAATTATTACAGTTAGTACTGTAGATAATATTTTAAAGATTGTTAAGATAATTATATCATACTGCTGGGTAAACTGTGTCAGATCGATATGGAGCTAATTTAGTAGGAAGTCCTAAAGCTCTAGTATAAAAGAGAAAAGAATAGCTAAGAGCTAAAGAAGTACGCTTTATGACTTGATGTCATAATTGTAACACCAACACTAGTTAAGCAGTAAATACACTCTAATAACCAAATATAGTAAAGGAAGAAAGCCTTAAGAAACTAAGACGTAATGACAAGAGCAGATTGTGTTTTCTTATAAAAAGAAACACTTTTTATTTATGAATAAAGACAACTTATATACAGTCTCAAAGTATTTCTATATGTCTCTATTATCAAATTTATTATTTTTCTATTGTTTCATATCTGAAATACCACACTTGGTATACGAAGCCAAATTTTGCCATCGTTTTAGAATGAGAAAAGGGTTATTCCTTAGAATCAACAAAGCTATGGAAAAACACGACCAGTACTTCATACAAAAGAAAAATGCAGCAGGAAAGCCTGGACTCCATTCCTTGCAAAAGACAACAGCTGCAATGCGAATGCTCTCCACTGCAATATCTGCTGATTCTCTTGATGAGTACTTGAGAATGGGTGAGAGCACTATCCTGGAGAGCCTCCACCATTTCTGCCAAGGAGTGTGTGAAGTCTTTGGCGAAGAGTACCTCCATACTTCTATGCCTGCAGATGTAGGGAGACTGTACAAAGACGGAGAGAAACGCAGGTTCCCCAGAATGCTTGGCTTGCTTGACTGCATGCACTGGACATGGAAGAACTGTCAGACGGCCTACCATTGACAGTAAAAGAGTAAAGAGAAGGTGCCAACGATGATCCTCAAAGCTGTTGCGTCTTGTGATCTTTGGATCTGGCATTGCTTCTTTGGCCTTCCTGAAACACTCAACGACATCAATGTTTTGGATAGGTCTCCCTTGTTCAGGCGATACACCCAAGGAGCCACTCATAATATACATTTTGTTATCAACAACAATATATATAATATGAGATATTACCTTGTTGATGATATATATCTCAGCTATGGCAACCTTGTGGCAGCATTGAAACAGGCTACCACAATAAAGGAAAACGTGAATAAACAATAGAAAATGCATATATACTCTGCTAAATATATATAATTGTAATAGTACTTTCGCACCCAACAGGAAGCCTGTAGAAAAGATGTGGAAAGAGCTTTTGGTGTGTTGCAAACTCGATTTGCTATCTTGAGCCATCTTGCAAGACTTTGGAGAGTAAGAAATATTACTGAGGTAATGCATGCATGTGTTATCATGCATAATATGATAGTAGAAGATGAACGTGGGGTGTACGGGCTAGAGAATCTGTCTCCTTACCACCTGGAAGACATTGCAACAATCAGCAGAGACACAGACATTGATGTCTTCAATGCTTTCTTTGAAAGACGGAGAGAAATCAGGAACAAAGATTTGTCTCTTCAGTTAAGACAAGACCTGATAAACCACCACTGGGACATCAAAGGCAATGAATAAAATTCCCATTGTAAAGCCTTTAAAAATAACAAATATTTAGAGATAAACATATATTTTATTCATTTTGTTCTTCTTCCAGAGCACTCTCTTCTTCATCTATCTTGTCATAGATGCCAGAGTCTACATGATCTATAGCCTTTTGCTTACGTGCAGCAATAAAGGCCAAAACATTGGCATTTTTGTACAAAGATTTGTCAGCTAAGATTATCTCATAATCTTGAGAGCAACGAAAGAGCAATCTTTCGAATCTTTTGTTCTTCTCCATTATTTTCTGTTGCTTATCTATAAGCTCTCTGAAACCTTCAAGTTGTTCCTCAACGACATTTGACAGACACTGCCCTTTCATAACCTTTCTCTTACTGGCCTTACGGCCCTCTGGATGGTAATCATCCACTCTACTCACCTTGGTCATAGAAGAGACAGTGGCATTTGCACTGTTGATTATACTACCTGTGGTAGTTTTGGCTTTAGTAGCCAAAATGGACTTCCACTTGGGTTCCTACTTCAAGATTTTATAGCAATCATCATAGATGAACTTTTTGCCAGTTAGGTGCTCCTTTTCATAGACTTGGAGCGCTTTTTGATACTGTTAACATAAATTAGTCTACTGTATCCAGTTATTGTAACTAATGTTTTTGCATTATCTTATCTTCAATAGTGGCACCGCTCTAGTTAACAGCAAGGGTGTCTTCCAATACCCCAACAAACTTCATGACTGCAGCTTGTATCACATTCCAGCAAGAATTGATCTAGGATGGGCTGCAAATAACTGGAGGATCAACGCGGCTTTCCTCAAATATCAAGAGATATTGACTCAAGACGTTGCTGAAAAAGTCGCCAGTGATTACATCCTCCAAAGCTCAAATGAATACAGAGCATAAGGTACGGTTCTCAAGGGGAGTTTAGTTGAAAGATCTAGGGGCCTTGGGGGTAGCCCTAGGTGCTCTGATAGTAAGAGTATTAATTTCAGGAACATTGGTGGTGTTGGGATTATTCATGTTTGAATTAAAAATTTTTTTAGAAAAAAAGAGACTCGGAGTGAAGAAAGGAAAAGATAAAACTTTTAAATCCCTGTCAAATACAGCAGCTAGATAAAATTTAGGACTATAAATTTTTCATAAAATAAAATAAAAGAAACTGCTGAGAAATTAACTTTTAGATAAAAGTCCAAATGCGGTATAAAAGTCTGGATAAAAGTTACTGCTGAAGATGCTCTAATATATCTTTAATATATTATTTACACTCTTATTTAACTGATACAAAATAGTAACTAAGATATTTGATTTTATGATTAGTTTTCTATTTTAATTTTTAATAGCTTAAAAAATAAGCTATAATGTATAGTAGTTATCTATTTAATATTTATGTATCTTATTTTCTACATATTCTATTTTAATAGACAATTATATAAGATATAACAATATATATTACATAAATAATATAAAGCAACTTTAGATAATAGTATTAATATTATTATTATTTATATGTTAATAATTTGAAAACTTTTTCAGCTAAATTATATAATATTTTTAAATATTTTGAACTCGACAGAAAAATAGAGATGTTTATAAGGTGCTGTATTTGAAAATCAACATCTGAAATGAACCCAAAGTTATCTTTTTTAGAATCAAAATTATTTTAAAATTTGGATGATTTGTTTCAACTTCAATTTATAAGAGTTTTATTATTTATTAATATTAAATAAAATAAATCTCATAGATAATATATGTATGTATAAATTTTTATATTGTATATAAATTGTAGATAATGTAAATATACTTTTATAGGAATACAACTTATTTATTTAATATATTATAAAAAAAATATGAGCAGAATATGTCAGGAAAGCTATGTAAGATATGATTTGTTCTTTTTTTTAGATCAGTAGTTTAGCACTTTTAACAAGACTATCTACTTAATCAAAACATTTTAAACAGAAAATACTAGTTTAAATAACTGGACTTAGAAAATGAAGATAGTAAATTTTAAAAAAAACAATTTTATTTGTATAATATATAGTTTAATTAAAATTAACTAATTAAAGTATTTTGGTAAAATTAGATTGAAATATAAATAAAAGAAACTTAAATATATGTAAAGTTATATAATAAAAAGTTTTATACAATTTTAATTTTTTATGAGAATATTAGAAGTTTTTATATATGTTAAAAATACCACTTTATATTGATACTTTATATTATTTCTATATTTTTCTTCTTAGAAACAATTATCATATATTACAAAATATTTGTTTTTTATTATTAATATATTTTGAGAAAACCATCTTTATATTATATTATTTGTAATAACTTAAAAACATTTATTTGCTCTTTATATTAACTACCTATTAATATTAATTCAGATTAATATTTGACTTAAGTTATAAATTTCTAAGACAATTGGTTTATGATCTGAATTCTGCAGATGCAATAAATAAAAATTTATCAATGAATAATTTTGATTTTTGAATTATTTATTAAATCAGTAAAAAAATATAATATAGTATATTTTTATTAAAATCAGAAATTTTAGGATTTGTGTCAATTTTTTCATTTAAAACACCGATAAAAAACCAGTATTAAATGTCCGCTAGTTTTTGAAAAAAAAACTGAAATATTAAAACTTATACATAGGCACAGCATTTTATATTATAAATTATAAATTTTTATTTTTTTATTTTTTTTAATGTAAATCTTAGGGGACAGGGTGTTACACAAGTTTATAGTGAGTATTCTGGCAGATAATTAGAGGTGTGACTACTTTTAACTTGTCCGGCAGACATCCATTGTTTCTGTGTGTAACACCCTGTCCCCCAAAAAACAGTCACTCCCCTGTCCCCATCCAGTATAATCACTTGTCTTTATTCACTAAGAAAAATCATGTAAAAGTAGAAGAACATTTGTCCATAACTTTTCATTTTCATTTTTATTTATTTTTAAAAAATTCATAGCTAGTTCAAAAAAATAGATAGAAATATGAGAGTAAAATGATTGGTTTTGTTGATTTTTTTTGCATAAAGTGAGTATTTGTTTGTTTTGTAATTTTTTTTGAATCACGTTTAATGAGTGAATTACAAAAGTTTTGTACATTTTATTTGTGAAAGATTGAACAAAAAAACAACAATTTGAAAATATTAGTAAAAATCACTTGCAAATGCTTTATATCAATAGAAAATAGTAAAAAAACGTTTCAGTAAAAGTTTTAGACCATATTATTATGTAGAAAAGATATTTATTAGCAAAAACAATTTATCTCAAATGGTTAAAAACGTGAAAAAAAGTATATATTTTGCTTGTTTATTCAACCAAAACATAATAAATTAACGTCAAATTTTGGATATAAAAATATACGTATTTTTTCAGCAATATGGCAAAATATCCAAGCTTTAGTACTCGAATTAAGATAGAAATCTATCAAAAGCTATGTATTGTTTCTGTTTTACATCTTTTATGGTAAAATTCACATCTGTGATTGGATGAAGATCTTAATCAGATTGCTTATAAATGCACAGACTTTGTAATCCAAAAAATAAAAGCCAATTATATAGTCTTCCAATTAGTTGGATGCCAATAATATTTGTATCTGGGTTTTACATGTAACATTAAAATTAAAGACAGACTGGGTGCAATTGTGTTTGTTAAAAAATTAATGAAAAAAATAGGAGTAAAGTATATTAAAAGATAGAAAGATAGATAAGTTATATATGTGTGAGGTCAATAATATTGGAAGAATTTACAGAAGAATTTGTAGGAGAGTTAGTGGCAGTAGTAGTAATTGTAGTAGTTGTAGTAATAGAGGGTAAAAGATAAGACTTCTTCTTTGGGAACTGACCCCAATGATTCCAACTTGTGGAAAAGCAGTCAATGATACTCCCTTTATGGATAGCATCAAAATACAGCGCATTTACCTCAGGCCAGAACCAATGTACATGAGGCTTCACTTTAATTGTTGTCCAGTGGCACCCATGTACATGGTGCAAGATTATTGGCAATGACTTTCTTTTGAGAGGCTTCCGATCATGGAGGGGAAGAAAAGTTACAGGCAAGACGCTCTGATCATCCGAGTACACACAAACAGGCTCATTATAGGTGTCAGCTATTATCTGAGCACAGTCTGGTGCAGAGAACCACATAGAGGAAGGGCAAGATGGGATATTTTCCCCAAGAGCAGGATCAATCTCAGAGCCAAAGGCAATGACCTCTGTCACTTCGGCAACATCCATGCCAAAGTTGTGCTCGTAAAGTTTACCGTGGGTTGCCATCGTGGCCAACATCTTTTTCTTCACCAAAGGAAACTGATCTTCTCCACCCTCTTTCAGGTGTGCAAATACACGGAAACTGCACCAACCATTGGACTTGGGGTTAAACATCAACAAAATGGCAGCTTGGTCGATTTGAGCAGGCAGAGCAAAGACATACACATTTTTGTTTTGTTTTTTTGGACTAGGCAAATTGTACCAGTAGTCGTCTTGGAGATGTTTAGGTCTTTTAATTCCAGAGGAATATTTTTCAACTAAGAAGAAACAAAAAACAATGTAACATTTAGCATTTAATTTTAGTAAAATATCTTATTGGTTACCTTCTTTGAGAGGCTCTTGCTTTTTAGCAAAATTGGTTGTTTTAGCTATAGAGAAAACATGCAATGTGTGAGCAAACCATACAAAATATTTTGTGATTCATTTATAAGTTATCAAAAATTACCTTCTTCAAGAGGCTCTTGTTTTTCAGCGAATTGGGTTTCTTTTTTTATTTCTTTTATGACTAGAAATAGTAAGCATTAGATATTACATTGTAATTTCATAAAAAAAAACAATTATAAATTACTTTTTTTGAGAGGCTCCTCCTCTAAGAACTCCTTCATCACTTCTTTAAGTCCTTCTTTTAAAATACTTCTGATATCATTCTAAAGAAATAAAGAATAAATATGTATTAGATTGTGAAATCATATTTGTGTATGTTGCATGCTTACTTTGTTTTTTTGCATAAGGAGATGTCTGTGCTTGTGATGAACAAAGTCCTTTGGGAGAGCAGTTTTCCTTTTGACGTGCTTAGGTCTTCCAGGAGCTTTAACCTTACTTGCCAAAGGAAATACAACATTTGGATGGTCAATTATTTCACCAGCATTGTCAACAAGTTCATCAACCATTGCCATAAGATTCTGGACTTTTTGATTCCCTTCACACTGATGAAACAATTGTTCAAGCTTTGTTATACATTTTACCCATGGGGCAGGTTTTTCAATGTCGATTTTCTGTAGAGAAACGTCACATTCCAGTTGCTTCAAACGTTCACCCAAAGAAGAAGACAGAATCCATCTTTCAGGAATGTCTGATAATAGCAACATACGATCTCTTGGCAGATCATGGCGACAAGGAAGACCAAACACCACTTTTACTCTGCAATTGCAAAGCTTACCAGGTACAACCTCTTCTAGAAGCTCAGCACAAATAGTAATCAAACCAATTCTGGAGACGTGGTGAATCAATCCACGGAGGCGAGATTCATGGTATATTCTGGCATCTGTGATAGTTGCCTCATTCAACTCAAGGTTCTGATAGTCGCTCTCGAACTGGAGAAGATAGGAGCAAATTTGCTCAAATGAAGAGTTCAATGACTGAAGAGCCAAGATTTTTCTTTTCAGAGCATTATGGCCACTCTCGACACGTTGTGTTGTCACACAGTCAAAATGTTTTAATTGACTAGTGAGGTAGTCAGTCCACTTTTCCTTGCACGGCATCCACTCATCTTCAAAGTACTTTTCCAGAGTTCTTTTTTCTACAACCTTCGTAGAATCATCATTATTGTCTTCCAGCTGCTCTTTACTTTGGAAATCTTTTCAAGATGACAGCAATTTGAAAAGCTCAAGCTTTTCATCAAAGACATCACGTTTATCTCCGAAGATCATTTGGTTGACTAAATGTGTGCACAACTCTTTTTCTTTTCCTGGTTTCATTGTTTTTTTTCGCCATTTTGGCAATGTTGTTGATCATATGCCAATCACACAGAAGCTTCTTGGTCAAGGGGAACTCGGAATCAAGCACATTCATCAATGCTTTACTTTTTTCTGTAACAAATATAGGGGCTTTATCAACTCCCACCAAAACAATTGCTTTCAGAGACTTCACAAACCAAACATAGCTCTTCTCTGTCTCATCGGCTACCCATGCAAAGGCCACAGGAAAGCTCTTCAACCTTTCTCCACCTAGGTTACTGACGCCCTCTACGCAAACCAATGGCATCTTCGCGCAGTTTGTCTTGTATGTAACATCCACAATAAAGACATCGGGGAAACGTCAAGCTCTCTTGATCATTATATTGTTCATAAAAAATATATGAGTGAGTCTATTTCTCTCATTAAACTCGTAGAGAACGGAAAATCCCTTTGCTTCCATTGTTCTGATGAGCTCAGTAGCGCCATGGGCAGACTCATCATCACCACAAGTAGCACTGTACTTGAGATTGTTGATATTGCTGATCCTCAGCTTTCTCATTCCTGTCACCTTGTCACTTGTTGCCTTCTGAACATCACGGGACTTGGCGTGATTCTCCAACATTGTCTTTGCAATAGTAGCATCTTCAGCAGTCAAAAGAGACATTCTTCCTTGGTGAGAAGAAGCCAAATTCTCAGGGGTGACAGGGTGGTTGCGGCAATGTTCGTTTTCCCCATAGGCATGCAAAGGAAGATATCTTTTGCTCTTCTTCTTATAAGAAAATCTTAAGAGATAGGGGCATCCAGTAAGAGAAGAGTTGGGCATCTTCTTTCTTTTCTCATCACTTATATTGCGCTTGTCACAATAAACACCAGCCTTTGAACAAGCAGTGTGAAGAATAGGAAATTTTCCATCTTTAATCTTAACGGTGAAGTTATTAGAAAGGGCGTAATCATTTATGGCTTGAAGAACACTCTGCTTGTCAGGATAACCATTCTTGGGGAATGAGAGAGTTGTTTTAAGCAAGTACATCTTCTCAATAGGGGTATTAAAGTTGATGTTCATATTTAATAAAAGAGCACTGTAGTTATATAAGTATTTTTATTGATTCATGTATGCAATGTACATAACGTAAAAAAGGCATCATATCTTGTTATTTGGAAATATTATTTTTTATTCTTACAACTAAATGTTAATGACTTTAAGAAAGGGGGTGTTTTTATTTTTCCCGTGAAATTGGAATGATCTAATGATGTGGACAGGGGTGTGCTTATAAAGAATGGGGATGGGAGGTTATTCAAGACACTTTATAGCCAGGCCTCGGACTCGCAGTCACCTTAACTTGTGCGGTGCTGTTACCCCCTGTCCCCTAAGATCGCTGTTTTTTTAATCATGGATGCCAATTGTGATATTTCAGGTACTAAACAATAGAAAAATAAAATATTTGATAATAGAGACGTATAGAAATACTTTGAGACTGTATATAAGTTGTCCTTTATTCATAAATAAAAAGTGTCTCTTTTTATAAGACAACACAATCTGCTCTTGTCATTACATCTTAGTTTCTTAAGGCTTTCTTCCTTTACTATATTTGGTTATTAGAGTGTATTTACTGCTTAACTTGTGTCGGTGTTACAATTATGACATCAAGTCATAAATCATACTTCTTTAGCTCTTAGCTATTCTTTTCTCTTTTATACTAGAGCTTTAGGACTTCCTACTAAATTAGCTCCATATCAATCTGACACAGTTTACCCAGCAGTATGATATAATTATCTTAACAATCCTTAAGATATTATCTACAATACTAACTGTAATAATTATTGGGCTGATTACTTAATTGTTTATATATATTTTATACTGACAAGATGATAGCTACTATGCTATCCTAATATGAATATGTTCTTATATGTGATAAATCCAATATCCGAGTGTCTGGATCACCATACTAATGCTGCGGTGAGATTTACTGATTCTTGAGGTGAATTTCTTCACCTCAGCATCAGCATCCTTAGCATCCAAAAACTTGCTCTAAGCTTCAATATATCCCCAAGTCTTTTTATAAAATCTCCTGATCATGGAAGGAGAACCAGCCACAGGAGAGGCACTGTCCAAGAAAGACGGGAGATTCTTTTCTAACAACTTGAAAGAATAATCGCAGTTTAGGCGAGCCACACATTTGGCTGCACCCCAGTAACACTCGATCCAATTGCATTCACAATGGAACTTGGGGTACAGCTCAAATATGTGACCCGCCTCTTCCACCACCTCTTGAAGAGCTGTCTTCTGTCCAGAAAAGTCGGGCTGAGAGGCCAAGAGGTGGCAGGCACAGTAACAGTGGTTCTCTGTTTCTTCTCCATTGCAGTCCATTCTCCATCTTCTAGAAAGATTGGATGAATCCAGTTCCATCCACAGTCCACACTTCTGAAGGATCCGCTGGACGCCAACAAACTGTCTCTTCTCCACCAGCCCCTTTCCTTTCCTTCCAGCTTCAAAGACTGTCTCATAAAACGATTGAGAGATGATATGTCCATCCCTCAAAAACGTTGTATCTTTGAAAATGAACTTGTCATTTTCAAAAACGACCTTTGGCTTTAGAACCATGTGGGTGGCAACCAAGGCATCTGTGACATATGCTTTGTGGTTGCTGCTTTGGTCAAAAATAAAGACACCAGTGCATCCCTCATGCAAGCTTTCGAACAGAGGGATAGCATGGTTCTTCAGCTGGTCAAGCATGTCTTCACATGTCTAGTAACCGTCATATGCTGCCTCAATGTTAAATATTCTGCAGGAGACCCATTCCTTCGCTCACATAGTGCCATGACAAGCACACTGGAACTCGCTGACCATCAGAGATCTTCCCTGACCTTTTTTGCGGATGTAGCTTTCACCTTCCTCAAGCCACATGTCCACCTTTCCATCATGGGCATAAAAGGTGGACTTGTCATGGGTCACCATAACCAGCTTCTTCTGGTTCTCCAAAAGAAGAGAGGTCATCTCAATTTCTTCATCTTCCCCAGTAAAGTCTGACATACATTATTTGTATCTCATCATTCGCATTGCCCAAGCATGGCAATACTGAACAACGTCTCGTCTTTCATGTCCATTGTAATATACGTTCTGGTTGTTCTTGCGGTGAACGTACTCCCAAGCACTCATGCATTTCCATGCTGTGCTTATGGCGACGTTGCCTTTTACACCAAGGCATGATGAAAAAAGCATTTTATTGAGATACTTTTTCAAATCCACAACAGTTTGTCTTTCTGCTTTTTGAGCAGAAAGCCAAACGATTGCTTTCTTTTTAAGGTCTTCATCGTCTACAATTGAAGACTGCTTGGCATGCTTGCCCTGTTAATATTCAGAAGTTTTGCCAAACTGAAGAAATTCTTTGGCCCAACCATGGACAATGTCTCCACAGTACTTGGAAGGTGTTGTCCTAAAAATCTCTGCTGCTTTTTCAGATGCCTCGATTTTCTTGCAATTGTTCAAGAGGCATTGGAAATACTCTTTCAAAACAATGTGTTTGCTTACTTCAAACAAAGCAAACTTGCCCAACTCGCTATCTGAACTGACTGAAGGCTTTATCATCTCAGAGATTTTCTCATAAGCTTCACGAATCTCTTCAAGTTCCTCATCTTTCAATTGCTTGTATACAGTTAATGCTTCTGTTACAGGCGAAACTGGTACAACAGGAACTGAGAAACCAAAATCAGCAAGCGTTCTGACCTTCTTGTCTTTATTTGCCTCAAGCTCTTCTTTCATTTTTCTCTTGTTGTGCATAATCGATGATCTTGAGTCTCCTCTGTAGAGTCTACGCAAATTTTTTTCTGCGTCTGGTCTCCATGTCAGAAAGCTATTATAGTACACAGCAATCATTGTATCTATATCTAAATCCAAGAGCTCCCAGTCATACTCTTCTACAGGTTGATCTTCAACAGATTCCTTTTCTCCAGCTTCCTTTTCTGTATCAATAGTAATAATTGGAGACTTGGTGCAGAATTTTCCGCCCTCTCTTCAAGCCATTTTAGAAGTAAGGATAAAGTGAGCGTTTTTACAACCCATTTTTAAGAATTTGTTTTGGTAAAAGTAAAAGAAGTGTTTTCAGAGCAGTCTTGATAGACAGCTGTCACATCCAAAAACGTGGTTTATACTCCGCATATTACATGTAATTACTAATTTAGGATATATAATTCTCTACATCTGCCTTGAGATGCCATCAGAGATGTATATTCAAGTCTCAATATTTCTCTTCCCCTGCTATTAAATTGGAACACCACACTTTTTCAAAAGTCAAAAACTTTGTTGGAAATGTCACTACAAACAAGCTGCTCGCACAGTTCTTTTCAGAAACACTTTCTCCATGTCCATGAGCAACGGTTTTTTTGTATTGACATTTCCGACAAAGTTTTTGCCTTTTGAAAAAAATATTGGAGTCCAATAATTCTTTCTGATTATAAGAAAAATACACTATACGCTAACAACAGCAAAGTATAGAAAAGATTTTGTGATAATGTGAGATTGTTTCTGGGCTGGTGATCTTGGACTATTATTGTTTCCTAAAGAATCAGTAGACCAAGACATAAATGTCTGTTGTTTGTCTAAGGACTTCAATCTCTGGTACAAACAATTGAATGAGAAACATGTCACCTTATTCACATTCCAAGAAGATAATGCTAGCTGTCATACTGGGTCCTAGACAACGTGATGGAAAAACCATTGGGAGATTAAACAATTTGACTACTGGCCATTGCAAAGTCCAGATTTGAACCCAATTGAGCATGTCAAGCATGCACTAAAGGCCAAGGTTCAAGAGAGAGAGAGATTCCTATTAACTGTGCAAGAGCTAAAGGTCTATATTCTTCAGGAATGAGAGCTGCTTGACTCAGGAGTTCTGCGAACTCCTGTTGCAAGTATGCCCAACAAAGTTAAAGTAATCATAGAAGCTCGCCATAATCACACTGTATATTAAACTTCTTTTTTTATTTTTATTTTATAATATATATTTATCTCTATAATAACACAATGTTTGGTTTTATTTTGTTAACATCTTGAGAAGATATAGTGTAATGAAGTTGATTTATGGTTTATTTGGGGTAGAAATCAAAGATTTTGTTAGTGATTTTGGATTTGGAAGTGTATCTTGCTCTATCACGAACTTACTTATTAAATATATATATAATAACATGATTATTTTTAATTTTCATAAAAAGACCTTATTACTCGAGTAACTACAGAAGTATTTATTGTGCCTTGCTTAATTAGAAAGAACGTATTTCTCTACCTGGCCACGTCTCAACTCGCCATAACCTTTACAAAGATTGTCTTTCCAATCTTTCATGAGAGTATCCCCATCTAACTGTTTGTCTCTTCTTCTTGCTTTATTATTTCTGTTGGACTGGAAGCTTTGATAGTATTCAACTGCAGTGCTGGCTTCATGTTCTAAAAGTTGCCTGATACCTATTCTGACATACATTTCAAACACAACATCAAGGAATGTGTGGAACTAAGCAATATTTCTATACGTTACTACAGCAAGAGATTTTGGATCCACTTCTTTATGATCTATATTTGTTGCTGTTAGTGAGGATGATAATGACAGTGATGATAATAATAGAGAATCAGTCAATTGAGACAAGAGTGTTAGATTAGTAGCAAGGTCTTCATCTCTCCTTTTGTAAGGTGAACAATATCTAATGTGAGCTAGACACACCACCTTGAAAAAAGTGTATGACATATTGAGGATCAAGCATCTGGTTTCCTTTGAAATAGACCCACTGATCATCAAAGAGCTCAAATTGAAATATTACAAACGTTTACATCTGAAAGAAAGGTGACTAAAGACTTGTGTATCTGTAACAATACGCCATAGTCCCTGAATTTCCAATCTATGATACTGCCATTCTTTTTTATCTTGACTCGTCTTGCTGGAATTAATAAATAACTTTCCACCAAAATATCTCAAGCGTTTTAGAGCTGTACATTTGTGCAATAAATTGTCTAGATCAATGGAAAAACCACAAGACTTGATGTGAAGATCTTTCAAGAACAGAGATTACAACGATAGTTCAAGTTCTGGGCATTGTTTAATATAAAAAAATAGCTTTCCTTCAACCGAAAATGTTTTGAGTGTTTCTGAAAAGGACTGCAAGAAGCTTTTGACATTTGCTGCATAGTGCTGAGCTGTACTGTGGCTTGATGTCGCAATGTACTTTAAATTTTTGATAGGCGCTTTTAATGGATATATGTATTGCCAGAAAACAAGATGAGTTCTCATTGATATTTCTTCAGTAATCAGCTCAAGTGTTTCCAAATGCTGGAGTCTATTTGGATTCAAGGGATATGTATATGTTACGTCTTGTGTCAGGACTGCTGGCCACCAGTTATGATATCCAATTGAGATATCTAGTCTTAGAAACTGCAAGTTTGGGTATTTGTAATTAAAGTAGTACAGCCACAAGGCAAAGAAGTTTTTAAATTTTATATCAAGGGTTGTCGTGCTAATTGCTGGTAGAGTATGTGGAATCTTCTCCAGTGTAGATGGAAGTTCATTCGCAGCACCCAAGTACGCCTTGAAGTAGGACATTTGTGGTAATATTTGGTGCAGGGTGTCAAAGGTCTATAAATCAATTGTAATAGCCGTGCGAAAATTATCTATAGCTATTTCTAATTTCTGGAGCATGTGGCATGATCTTATGAGTCCAACGAGGGAATCTGCAGTCAGTATTTGCTGATAGCTGGTATGATGAAGGACTATGCTTTTTAGGGATATCCATGACTTGTTTATTCTTATCATTTCTCAATTGATAATGTTAAGATTTTTATGTCCAAGATCGATATGCACCAAGTTTGGAAGACATTGAAATAAATCATACTGTTGCTCTACAGGTATTATATAATATCTACCTATTTGTATACTGTGTACCATAGAGCCGTGTGGTATGGATGTATTATTGTAGGGTTTAATCATGTTGCATGTGTGCTCGAGTGTATCGGTGGAATCGATCTATATATCTCTCCAAAGATAATATTGAAATATGTATCTCCATGTCTTGCAAGTAATAGAACCAGCAAGTATGTCTTTTGTCAATAGATGCTCCGCAATTTGTGATAGAATTTCAGATGGTAGTTCTGAGGCTCTCAAAGTTACAATGATAATTATAAAACAACAAAAGACAAAAGGCTATATATAATATATATTGAAAAATATATTAATGCTATTTATATGAAAAATGAACAAAATCAAGAAGAGCTATTTCAAATAATTGATACCTTGGGTTTAAATATTGATATAATTAAAACATTTGAGTAACCCAAGGCATACGAGACTCAGCCAGATATTTATATATAGATCCTGAAATATAAACAACAAGAGAAAAAAACTTGTGTTTACAAATATTAATGCAGTATATTATGGAGTATATGAGGTTGAGTCATAGCTTGTGTGGTATACACACCACAATTGAGTGAAATACAAACTCCACAATCCAGAACAGATACTACAATTGCTAATGAACCTGGCAGGATCACATCTCAGGAATGTAACACACACCAGGCACTCATACACTTCACACTGCTTCAGTGATAACCAACCATTAACTAACGGAGATCTTAAATTAGGGAACCAAATGTCTATATAAACAGCTATGATCTTCTTTCTTAAATAAACAGCACTCTCACAGTAAAAAATGAGGTATTCAGAGTTGTTTATGGGTTAGTATCTCAATAATAGGAAAAGTAGATACTGTGAGTGTTATTTGTTAAAGAGACAAAATAATATTGTTTATATCTGCTACTATTCGAATCTCTGTAATTGGAATCCCTGTTGTGTAATGGTTGGTTTGCACTGTATGAGTGTGTAGTGTACGTGTGCCTGGTGTGTAACAGTTCCGGAGATTGTTAACTTGTCAGGTTCATTAGCAAGAAGGAACCAGTGTTTGGTTGTGGGGTCTGTTCTTCACTCAATTGTGGTGTGTATACCACAGCTTGTTTGACTTTTGTAACACATTGTTGCTTTTTTAAGGGAGGACAAAGAAAGGGAAGAAAATAAGGCTAAATTGATTTATTTGAAAGGAGTTACAGCCTGTCAAGATTTACTTTTGTTTTCTGGATGTAACAATTGACAAGTTGTATAATTGAATGCCATTAACGACACAGAACACATTAATAAAGTAAAGGTTGTGATATCTGCTGATTGTCCATTAGAGACTCTGTCCCTTCAATGAGGTTTAGGGTTTTCTAAGCCACGCTTTTTATTCTTTGTTTAAATTCAATATCTCTCTCTCTATACTACTCTATCTCTTTCAAGCCACGCATCGAGGCATATTAACTATAGCTACACAAAGGATCATTATGTCCAATGAACAAACAATTTCAAGAGAAGAACTTCAGGAGTTACTTGCCTTTAAGCAAGAATGGGAACAAGACAAGCAGCGAAAGCTTGACCTCTTCCATCTTCTTCCCAAAGAAATCTTGGAAGATTTAGAGCTATCTAAAGCCAATCTTAGAAAACTCTGCAACACGTTCAATCGAACAAGAACCAACTATGACAATGAATGGACGCGCAGAACATTCATCAATCGCCAGTACATTGGAGAATGTAACAAGGTCAATGTATCTGCAACATCTGCAATCCAAGGACGCTACAAGGATACAGAAAAGTTACGCATGATGGCAAGTGCCACTTCCAAGTTATTTGAAGAAATCCAGACGATCATTGGCGACCTAGATGAAGACTCCATGACCTATGAGCACTGGAAGACCATTGACAAACGAGCCCACTGACAGGCTGTGTACGGCTTCAGTTCAGCCCAAGCAATTGACAATGAAGCACATATCTGGCTCGAAAAGGCTATTGGAGTTCCTGAACACCTTCGATATGCCGACAAAAACGAAGACAAGAAGCTGGCCATTCCGGCCCAGCTATCAATCGACATCAAGAAGTCCAAGTTCAAACAAGCAGTTCTTACCCAAGCAGCAGGGGACCCAGGAAATTCCCAACGCTTTCAAAACTTGGGGTTTTCCCAGCGTGGAAGGGGAAATGGAGGTGGACGAGGACCAGGTCGTGGTACCTTCCAGTCAAAACCCCGACTACCCCACAACCAACCAGCATCTGAGACACCAGCACACCCAGGCCAGTGGGAAACCTCTGAAGGACTTGTCCTTCACACAGGTGATTTTAGTGCACCCATCAGAGGGAGCACACTATGTGATTCCAGAGGATGGCATTGCCCCAGGTGGACGTCTTCAACATTTTCAACACACCTGGGAGAAGATGACAAAGCAGACTTGGCCACAGGCAGTAGTCCAGGAGGGATACCAAATTCTGTTCAAACAGGCCCCAATTCCTTGGAGAACTCCACAGCACAAGATATCACAACAAGCAACATTGGATTTAGATGAGACGGTCCAGAAATTTCTGTTGACCCAGGTGATAGAGGAGTCGCCCAATGGAAACGACCAATACTTATCCAAGATGTTTGTGATCCAAGAGAAAGACAAGAAAAGGCTAATATTGGACTGTCAGAAAATCAACTCGTATGTACAGCTCCAACATTTCAAAATGAAAGGAGTACCAGCCTTGAGGGATATGGTAACCACCAGATCATTTATGACCAAGATCGACTTGAAGGACACATACTTGGTAGTCCCCATACACAAAGCCTCCAGACAATTTCTCAGTTTCTGACATCGTCAGAAGATTTATCGATTCAAGGCCTTAGCCTTTGGTCTCTGTGCCACGCCTTTCATGTTCTCAAAATTGATGCGATTTGCCATGGAACCACTGCAGGCACAAGGCATACAACTAGTCTATTATTTGGATGACATATGCTTAGTATCGAACACTATCGAGGAGGCCAACAAGAACACTCAATTGACCATAACATATCTACAGTCCTTAGGATTCAGCATCAACAAGCAGAAGAGCAAGACGATCCTAACACAAACTCAGGAATTCTTGGGATTTCAGTTCAACACCAAGACAATAAAGCTCACAGTGCCCAAAGCAAAGATAGTCAATCTGAGAGACAAGACCAAGCAGATTCTACGGAAGACTCATACTTGCAGACAGCTGGCATCCCTAATAGGGAAGTTCACAGCAATGATACCAGCAATAGGGGGAGCATTGATCCGAATAAGGTATTTGCAATGAGATCTAGCAAAGAACCTACACCTATATCAGAGGTGGGAGAATCAGTGTCCCTTGTCACAGGAAGCGATAAAGGAACTCCAGTAGTGGCAACGGAATACTCAAGTAATCAATTGCATGCATGTCAAGGAACTGACACCAAACAAGGAGGCTCTGACAATCCAGGTGGATGCGTCCAATTCTGGTTGGGGCGTCGCCTCCGAGATCCTTCAGACATCAGGATTCTGGACACCAGAAGAGAAGGCCACCTCAATAAACGCCAGAGAACTAAAGACCTTCCTCTTTGCACTACAGCTCCATGCCAACAGATATCAGGGCAAGTCAGTGCATATCCAGAGCAACAATATTACAGCCAAAAAGTATGCCATGAAGTGGGGAGATACAGCATCGCATATACTTCAGGAACTGGCACTGATGATTTGGAATCTGCGAGTGGAACAGAAGATAACTGTGACCATGTCACATATAGCAGGAATAGCGAATGTAACGGCCGACTGCCTGAGCCATACCAAGAAACCAGTTCACGAGTGGGCTCTTCCCAAACGGCTGTTCTGCGAGATTACCAAGAGATGGGGCCGACTGACCATAGATGCCTTCGTCTCACAGGAGAATACCAAGCTGAAGAAGTTTTGGAGCTACCGACCAGACCCTGCCACCACGGCCCAAGACGTCTTTCGTCAGAAGTGGCTGAAGAAGGGCGTGTTTGCACACCCACCTTGGCGCTTGATACCCCAGGTTCTTCACAAGATGACGAAGGAGAGGGCCAAGATTGTTCTGGTCACACCCTAGTGCCAGACCCAATACTGGTGGCCGATGGTGATGAACAAGGCAATAGAAGGCCCAATTCCACTCCACTCCAGTCGCCTCCAGTTCCCCTTGGCCGCATGGAGGCTATCACCAGACATTATGAGACAGTAGAACAACTGTCTAATACACAGGCCAATTTCTTGTCTCGCACTAACCAGGCAAGTACGAACAAGACGTATGATCTTGCATGGCGAAAATGGGCAAAGTGGTGCCAGACCAACGAGAAAGACTGTTTGATTTATGATGCCACCATTGTCTGCGAATATCTGTCCTACCACCATCACATAGGCATAGCAAAGACTCAGTTGAACATTGATAGATCGGCTATCGCCAGTGTATTTAAGGTTATCCATTCCAATAACCCACCACTAGCTAACCATTATCTGATCCAAGCCTTCTTCAAAGCATTGCGTAATAACTCTCAGTGTCCCGCTCGTCCAAGCACACCATTATGGGATCCAGAGAAAGTGTTAGCCAAGATACTCGATTGGGGACCAACAGACGACCTGTCCATGCTGCAACTTCAATGGAAAACAGCATTGTTGCTTTGTCTGGCAACGATATGGCGAACTAGCTCAGATGTGGGACGTTTACAGTTCCAAGATGTTACCCTCATAAGAGCACCATCTCCACCACACATGGTTGAAGCCGTACACCTCTTGGTTAAGAAACCAAAAGAAGGAATGATGAAGGATTTGACTTTGAACGCCATACCCTCCCATCCGGAACTATGTCCTGTTTACACCTTGACCTTATTCCTACGAAAGATAGAGCATATGAGAAGCTCTATGCCCATCGACCATACCTGTTTCTGGGTTTTGTGGAGGGGTCACAACTCCGTAGCATTCGACCTTCGACTATGGGTACTTGGATTAAAACCACGTTGAGTGAATGTGGAGTCGATACAACGATTTATAAAGGTCATTCAACCCGATCTGCTGCAGTTACATCGGCAAGAAGACGAGGAGTACCAGTTGCTGCGATCAAGAGACATGCGAACTGGAGTGCGAACAGCCAGGTATTTGAACGATACTATTGGCGACCAGAAAGAGTAGAGGCTGCTCAGATCCATGAAACAATTCTTCTGCCAACGGAAAACGAACCTCATTGGAGGGACGGAGTCTCCGATGGACAATCAGGATTGTCTGATACTCCGTAAGGGTTGATAGACAATTTGGATTGTTTGAGGGACGAAGTCCCGAGAATGAGGTGAGCCCCCCCCCCCCCCCCCCCCCCCCATCACTCCGCATAAATTTCTACCTCATCAAATGGAACCGTCGAATTGTTGGCGTGTCATAAGAGATAGAGTAGTATAGAGAGAGAGATATTGAATTTAAACAAAGAATAAAAAAGCGTGGCTTAGAAAGCCCTAAACCTCATTCTTGGGACTTCGTCCCTCGAACAATCCAAATTAAGCATTAGCTCCAGAGCATAGAATATAGACAAGGTTATTCACTAAATAAATAGTGTTTTTCTGGTTATATAACCGCACTAAATTTATATATAGAAAGGCGTTATAATTGACAGTAGTGCTAGATAGAGACAGTATCTATCAATAGACACATAATATCCTCTCGGTTTATTTTATGTATGATAATAAAAAAGAGTTCGTTTTGCTGAAAAAGACATTGTATAACATGTATTGAATAGAGAAAACGCTCTATCCCTATATCTTATTTCATTATTGTATCGCTCATGCCCTGCAGCTTTCTCATTTCATCACTACTTTTTCTGCCCTGTTTGCGTGTTTCTCATCCTTACCCGGTGGTGTTCCAAAATCCCATCAAAATTTGTCATTGAAGAATATCAATGGATCAATATTACAAAATTCCCCTGATTTTAGGTCTTTATTGAAGTCCCATATTGTAGTATGGTTAATGCCCAGTTGTTTGAATAATCAAACACCACATTATTCTCCAGATATATGTATATATTTATGCATACTTACATATACAAATATTAGCCATAGCTTATATTTTTATAATATCTACTAGTGACTCCTCTGGTTCTTTGATGTTTTGAGGCATAAACCCGATAACACTATTATAAAGCCTTGTCCTTCCCGAAAATATAATGTCTATAACCATTGATTGACATATTAAATTGTAAGCTTTTTGATGTCATGAAATGAATACATGGAAAGCAAGCATGTTAGACGAGCGTAGATATCGGCTCAAATTTTACCTGAAAGATCCGGGTGCGAAACCTTTGACGATGGTACTTTAAACATATTCTGGCTGATAAAAGATTGCTTGGTGTCGATACTGTGATCCGCTAAACAAAGACAAGCACACAGCCTTTGGAACTCGTCTAATTCTTCTTCACATTTTTCGTCCAGGACTGGAGACACATAACTTCTCAGGTATTCTAAAGCTTGTTTTGTCTTGGTGCTCACCAACTTTACTGGATTATTCTGTTGCTCTAATTCTGCTTGCCGATGCATTTCCCGAAGTTTCTGGGTTCTCAAAAGAAAAACAGATCGACGCATAATATCCTTTGGCTTCGTTCTACAAATCAATGCAATCCACAAAAATAAAACACAGTTGAATATGTTAAATACATGAAGACTCCTTTAATATTCTTATATTGAATATGGACCAGAGAGTGAATAATTGAATAGAGCTGTGTACATGATTCTACCTCTATCATATACTTTACTTTGTTAATTTTAATTCCCAGAAATCATTGAGCCGTCGACTGACATCCTTGGAATCTCCTGGATTGCCACCAAAGATGTATTGTCGTTTTGAATTAGAGTCGTATACCATCTGATGTGCAAATCTTGGGCAAGGTTCTTTGTTCTGCATTTTGTGCCAGTATTCTCGGCCACGCCCTTCATTTTGATATACTTTCTCCCATTTGTTTTGCGTTATGTTGTACACCCATAAAGAATTCTTGACAACATCATAGGATGTTGTCCGCATATATCCAGAAAACACATACAGTTCCCTTTTTGTGGTATCAATGGTTGTACGCTGGGTATATCCAGGGTCAGGGCCCGAATTCTTGGAATAATCTTCGGTAATTTCAATCAAGTCATCAGTATCAACAGCAAAACGATATATATCTGCCAGAAAGTCTTTGATGCGTTGACCAGCGAATATGTAAAGATCTCTAGTGGTTGGATCAAACAACATTGAATGGCCTGCTCGTGACTTTAATTGAGGCTGTCCAGAAGGCGTCTGTGCTGATGATCTTGGTAGGGGTGCTGTTGTAGCTGTAGCTGCTGTAGTTGAAGGGTTTCCAAGATTCCTTCGACTATTTTGATAATGCTCTCCCAATGTACCAGAAGAAGGAGTGTCCCCACTATTAAATATATATATATATATTGGTATTTAACCAAAAACATGACTCAATAAATAAATAATTAAATATTTCGCTTTTATCTTTACCTACCGTAATAGCTTCCATATATTGCTATTAATTAAATAAACAAATAATCCACTGTATGAATGCACTGTAGAGCCACCTACTACTACTCGACCACCAAATACATAGATAGAATTTGTATTTGGATCGACACACATTTCATGATCATAAATCAATTGTGGGCCACCTTCCGCCTGCAAGAAAATAAAAAGAATACCATTAAGCAATTGGGCAAGATATCAAAACCAAGAATAATATAATATTACTGCTGTATTTGTGCTGATCAAGGTCCATTTGTCCTTATCAACATTGTAGCGATAGAAATCGGAATCAAGATTTCCATCCGTATTTGCATGTGATTCAACGTAACGACCTAAGACAAATATTGACCTTGATGTAGGATCAAAACATATTTTGTGGCACGAGCGAGCACTTGGACCACCATCCCTACAGGGTTTGTGAGTATGTCAATGATAGATCTGTGATTAATTTTATATTTTTTTGCTATATATTAATCAAGGCAAAAACACTCAACCAGACACACACACACATAAGATTATAATTCTCTTATACATACTGACATGTATCTGGACTTAATAGATTCCATTTTTCTTTTTGAATATCAAAATACCAGAAATCACTCAAGTCTTGTTTGCCGTCCCAGCCGCCAAGAAGGTACACCTTTCCACGTTCAATATCAATACACATTTGGTGTCCTCCTCTTGGACCAGGTGCATTGTTGCTATCTGGTCCTTTCAAATGTAAGCAATAATAATAATAATAATATCTGATACCTATACATATTATTGCTACATATCTATGTGTCCTCTCTCTCTCTCTCTCTCTCTCTCTCTCTCTCTCACACACACACTTACCGGTGGATGAAGAGTATATTCTTCGCCAATTCGGAATATATTTTGTATTATTTGCGTACTCATCAAACAGACCTTGCTGGTAAATGTCTTTGATGATATTTTCGGAAGTTTCATAGTCTCCATCCACAACAAGCACTTTGTGAAGTCGAGTAAGAAGAGGTTCTTCCAATTTGACCCCGGTTCTTTCTTGTAAGCCACGGAATATATCCATCATGTTTCGTTGGCGAAAATGCTTGAGACATAGTCGCACAGTTTCAATCTCCTTTAACTATGGCCAATTTATGTACACACACACATATATATATATAAAAGCTCTTTAGAGTGGGACAAAGAACAACCACAATATATATATCTTTAATATATACCTCCTTTCTTTTATCGGCTTACCTTTTGATTATCCGCGACAACCTTTTGGATGATATCTTTGTCTGTCACTCCACAAAACTCAATATACCAGATACTATAATTGAATTTCTCTCCAAAAGTTGTGAGCGGTACAATTTTGATATATTGAACTGGAAATGCCTACATTAATTTTATAGAATGTCAAATATATCACAGAACAAAAAACAAGAACCATTAGTACAATAAGTAAAATAACGAATATACTATCGAACAAAAGAAAAAAAAGAGAATCAAGCTGGATATCTTGTTTGTTCTCTTTCTACAAAGACTTTACCATATTATTGGCAGCATGTCGAAGAGGAAACTCTTCTGGTTGATTATCATTGCGAAGACCTGTTTTCATATCATTATTTTATTTTATTTTTATTTTTTTTTACTCTGGCACATATACACATTCACACATTGTTCGTGTTAAACAATGCGCCTCTTCCTCTTTTCTTCTTGTAATTCATCCTGCTCTCGTAATATTTCTGTTGACACTTGCCTTGATGCAATATCTCGGTCATATCTTCAAGGTTCATTCCACCGTAGACTTTGAATTCTTTGAGATTACATACATGACCTTTTGGGTTTTGTTTTGTTTGAGAAACAGCTCACATCTTTAGAAACTATAATTTTCTATGATTTTTTTCCCTCGGTTTCCATTGACATGTTATCTCCAACTCACTCAATCACTCTCTATTTATCTCATTTTTTTCCCTTCTTTTTGTACTATTGTCAAAAAGTCAAATTACTTACTTTCATGGTATTTTCCAAAAAGAATTGTTCCTTTATTTAATGAATATAGTTTTAATTTACATGTAATAATTTGTACAAAGATTGTTGTTTATATGTGTACAGATAAATATAGATTAGCAGGCTGCTCCAGTTGATCTGGCTATATCTTACATAAAAATATAATAAAAAGAAATGACTTACGTGCTATAGCCGGAGAGTCGAATCGCAGGGTTATATACTGTGTTTGATTACATACTCCTGAAGACCAGCGCGATGACAGATCTTCTGGATTATTATAACATATGTTTTGGGGATAATACAATCCTGAATGAGAAGAGCAATCGAATACGGTATATGGAATTTTTTTTTGGGACGATGGTGCGGTGATTGTGGTCATGACAAGCTTGGAATGTTCATTTAGTACTTGTTCGCTTGTCGAGTACTCAGCAAGGTTTGAGTTGAGTACAGAATCCTTCTCCATAAAGCTTGTTAAAAATGTTAGGCGGTATATATGTATATATACACACAGATATATATATATATATAAGTTTAAAATAAAATATAAGGGAAAAAGAAAGATAAAGGGATTAGAACTAAAGTAGCGATGAAAAGCACCAAATGAACTGCGGTGGATATAACTGAGTTTCTATAATGAGGCCGTGGGGCATTGACGTGTTTGGGATCGATTATGTCTATAGATGTATGACTAAATTGCTTTGTTGTCTGTCAACACACACACACACATATATATATATATATAATGTGGAGATTACCAGCAGCCGACTAACTGATCTGACTCTTACAAAATCCCAAGAAATATATATATTTGTATTCACTTCTTGAGTAGAAAAGAAACCCTTTCTCTCTCTCTGTTTTCATTAACATCGCAACACTTCATTTTTTTTTATATTACAACATTTGCTGTATGACTAGATAACAGTAATTTCTGTGGTAAAGACCTTATCCTTAGTTGCTTCACTACAAACTTGATGGTACAAATTTTCTCAAAATATTACAAGCAATTAAAAGAGTAAAGAAATATAGAGGGGAAAAGTATTAGGAAAAGAGAAAAGGGTGCCTTTTCTCTGTCTTAAGAAAAAAGCTCAAATATAAGGACATTTTATTGGAAGATGAGTATTTTGTGTTCAAAATAGGCTTTTTTTCTATCAACTGCCAACATGCCCATATTCCACACACACACACACACACAGAAATATATATCATCGTGTTTTATCAAAATAATAACTATAGCTAATAAAACAGGAAAAAACCTTTTATCTTTAGCAGACCTTATTTGCTTATTTGCGTTTTTCTTTGCAGAACAATCTCTTACAATTCAATCCTTCATGTCATCGAGAAGCAAAAAGAAAACAATAGAGTACATCTCTCACACTGGGTTTTATAGAGTGTGAGTTTAGTCATATAGTTGATTTCATAAAAGCAGCACCATCCCTACAGGGATTTCATTCCACATGAGCCTCTCTTGGATGACAATAACCAACACCATCAGACATTGGAAAAAAAAAGCAGATACAGAAAAAGTCAAAGACCAAATATTTGGGATATGGGAATAAACCCAGTCATATTGACGTTATACGAGACTTTGTTTGAGTTTGGGTTATGTTGATCAGATGAGTCTAAATTCATAGTCCACGATAATCATTTTGACTCGCCCATAAACCCATACTATTAAAACTGTAAAGAGCAATCAGGAGAGCCACACTTTTTATCGAATACAAGTATTTTAAGTGATCCGTTATAGAGTGAGGTTGTTTCTGGGACGCTGGTTTTCAGAATTTATTGTTTCTTGAAGGGCCCGGAAACCAAAGTGTATATACCAGCTGTTTATCCAAAGACCTAGACCTCTAGTACCAAAAGATAAATTTTGAGACATTGCACCATATTCCCATCCCAAAAAGACAGTATCCGATACTACACTGTCTTGTATAATATATGCTAAAAAAAAAAGGGGGGGGGGGGGCTTCGGGGCTTTATATCCAATATATTGCATAAAAAGATGCTATAAAGTACAAAAATGAAGAAAATGAAAGTTTTGCAGGTCTTTTTGACAAATAGTGAGAGCAAAATGGTCAAGATTTTTGTTAAATCCTTGTTAAAACTATGTCTGACAAGGTTTAATGATGCAATAACTATTCTTAATAAAAATGTCAGCTATTGAACCTTGCGTTCATCTTAATTCCCGTATTATTATTATTTTTTTAAAAAAAGAGTATAATGTAATATACATGAAACTCTCTAGAAAACCAGGGAAACTCTCCAGCAGTCAGTTTTAATTCCCATTTTAAATTAAATTTAATACTTGAGTCAAAATGGAAACCCTCAAAATTCGTTTTATTTTAGACCTCTATTAAAGTTAAGACAGAATTAAAATGGACTACTGCAGATTCTCTTGGGGCTTTAGATAAAGCAATTCTTGTAATTTTATAGAATATTCGAAACACAAAGGATCGAAATATCGATACTTTAAAAAAGGCATTTAAAAACTGCACAATTCAACTGAGATGAGACAAAGCAGAATGTATTTAGTTGACACAATACAATATGTCAGCTCATATTATATATGAGCCAAACATATATAAGAAGTGCGTAATTAATCATAGAAAGAAACACTAAAGGAAGCATACTTACAACTTTTGCAGTTCATTAGAATAAAACCTAGTGTCCTATTGACCTTATTTTGTATTTAGTTATATGACCAGGGAAACACTATTTATTTAGTGAATAACCTTGTCTATATTCTATGCTCTGGAGTTAATGCTTAATCAGCAGGTATCACAACCTTTACTTTATTAATGTGTTCTGTGTCGTTAATGGCCTTCAATTATACAACTTGTCAATTGTTACACCCAGAAAACAAAAGTAAATCTTGACAGGCTGTAACTCCTTTCAAATAAATCAATTTAGCCTTCTTTTCTTCCCTTTCTTTGTCCTCCCTTAAAAAAGCGACAATGTGTTACAAAAGTCAAACAAGCTATGACTCAACCTCATATACTCCATAATATACCGCCTTAATATTTGTAAACGCAAGTTTTTTTCTCTTGTTGTTTATATTTCAGGATCTATATATAAATACCTGGCTGAGCCTCGTATGCCTTGGGTTACTCGAGTGTTTTAATTATATCGATATTTAAACCCAAGGTATCAGTTATTCGAAATAGCTCTTCTTGATTTTGTTCATTTTTCATATAAATAGCATTAATATATTTTTCAATACATATTATATATAGCCTTTCGTCTTTCGTTGTTCTACAATTATCATTATAACTATGACAGCCTCAGAACTACCATCCGAAATTCTATCACAAATTGCGGAGCATCTATTGACAAAAGACATACTTGCTGGTCCTATTACTTGCAAGACATGGAGATACATATTTCAATATTATCTTTGGAGAGATATACAGATCGATTCCACCGATACACTCGAGCACATATACAACATGATTAAACCCTACAATAATACATCCATACCACACGGCTCTATGGTACACAGTATACAAATAGGTAGATATTATATAATACCTGTAGAGCAACAGTATGATTTATTTCAATGTCTTCCAAACTTGGTGCATATCGATCTTGGACATAAAAATCTTAACATTATCAATTGAGAAATGATAAGAATAAACAAGTCATGGATATCCCTAAAAAGCATAGTCCTTCATCATACCAGCTATCAGCAAATACTGACTGCAGATTCCCTCGTTGGACTCATAAGATCATGCCACATGCTCCAGAAATTAGAAATAGCTATGGATAATTTTCGCACGGCTATTACAATTGATTTATAGACCTTTGACACCCTGCACCAAATATTACCACAAATGTCCTACTTCAAGGCGTACTTGGGTGCTGCGAATGAACTTCCATCTACACTGGAGAGGATTCCACGTACTCTACCGGCAATTAGCGTGACAACCCTTGATATAAAATTTAAAAACTTCTTTGCCTTGTGGCTGTACTACTTTAATTACAAATACCCAAACTTGCAGTTTCTGAGACTAGATATCTCAATTGGATATCATAACTGGTGGCCAGCAGTCCTGACACAAGACGTAACATATACATATCCCTTGAATCCAAATAGACTCCAGCATTTGGAAACACTTGAGCTGATTACTGAAGAAATATCAATGAGAACTCATCTTGTTTTCTGGCAATTCATATATCCATTAAAAGCGCCTATCAAAAATTTAAAGTACATTGCAACATCAAGCCACAGTACAGCTCAGCACTATGCAGCAAATGTCAAAAGCTTCTTGCAGTCCTTTTCGGAAACACTCGAAACACTTTCGGTTGAAGGAAAACTATTTTTTTATATTAAACAATGCCCAGAACTTGAACTATCGTCGTACTCTCCGTTCTTGAAAGATCTTCACATCAAGTCTTGTGGTTTTTCCATTGATCTAGCACTACGGGAAAAAAAGTGGGGATTCCGCTGGGGATTCAGCTGGAGATTCAGCTTGGGATTGAGCTGGCGATTCTCGCGAATCGCAGTGGAATCTCTAGTTCCCTTTTAAGTAATATATTTTAATCGCCGTTGACTTATTGATGTTAGGTTTTATTCATATCCCGCTATATTTATCCATCTGCTATAACCTTATTTTCATTGGTAGGAAAAAAATATAAAAATATTTCTATTGGTAAGAATGAAAAAAGAAGTTCTTAAATTGGTAATAAAATATTATTTTGGTTCTTATAATTATTTTAATTGGATAAAATACATTCTATTATTGTATATGCTTCAATGGTATTGGTCATTTCAACAGAAACATTCTCTCAAATGGCCCTCATTTATATATATTCTGATTTGTTCACAATTTTAATTGGGTAAAAAAGTTTCATTTCATAGAGGATTTTTATTTAAAAATACTTTTATTAATTGTTATAAAAAGGACAATTCTTTATTCATTAATTGTATTGGCTAAATATCATTTGAATAATTTCATGTTTTCATATTAAGTATACAATTTATTATACCTACCTGACATGAACTTACGAGTTCTTTCCTTCACGCGGTTTTTCTATGACTGAAAGACTTTTGCAACAAATATCCGGTTTTTGTGACATGTGGTAAAGCCGACGCAACTTTGTTTAAGTAGACACACATGTTTGGCGCACATTATGCCCTTGTTTTCTTGAGATAGACATCGTATTTGGATTTATTTCTAAAGATTGTACAGAAAGATAGACGGCCATTTCATTACATATAAGACGTGAACGTGTTAATAGTTGTTTTGTTTTTCTTGTTGAGTTAAACCAAGAACATGACTCATCATTTTAAAGTCGTGTTTCAAAGTTATAGTTTTAATACAAGCATTAATCTCGAGATTAGGACATCAAAGAACTATATTGCTTTACATTAGCTTATATGTTTTTCTTTGCTTTATTATTTCTTACATCATAGTCTGGGGTGGGCTTCTCAAGTGTGTATTCATTTATGTCATTAGGTAGTTCAGAAATCTCCAGTCGTAGAATGCCTGTTACTTTTAGAGTGCTTTTTGGCCCTTCTGCAAAATAATAAGCATTTCTTGTATATCCCGAAGTGTTTATCGCATACCTTGAAGCAGATAAATTACTGAATCTTCTTAATTATTCATGATAATAATAAAAATCCGGCGTCAGGGTTTGTTATGAACAAAAGAAAGAACAAGAAAGAAAAATTTTCTAAGTCGTCATTAGCGTCATATATTTTGTACAAATGTATTGGTTACTCTTTGATATGAAATATCAATATAGTAATTTTACAATGATGACATACACTTCCCTATTCTAATTTTTTAGCGTGTCTTTGAATTGTCTTCACATATTTTATTCAAGTAATAAAAGTTTGATATTTTCTTTCTCTTTACTTCTGACTTGTAATAGCCATCAATTGCAATAAACACTTACTAAAAATGTAAAGTCTGTAGTTAAAATGCACTTTTGTCTATCAGGAGATTTAATTTTCGGTGGTCAATTTGCTTTTTATCAACTTCTTCAAAAAACAGAGACTTTCTTATTTCATTTTGAATTTTTGGTGAATTTTTAATTATTATAGACCAAAAAGAAAGTCACTAATTCGAAAATCCCGAGTTTTTTCCTGTAGTGATATATTACTTTATTTTACTTTATTTTCTTTTAAAAAGAGCCTATTTTTTAGCCTATTCTATAAATTAAGTCTTAGTTTGATGCTCATATAACACGGGAAGATTCAACCTTTCCAAATTTCAATTGACCATATCCTTTGTTAAGCTCGTATTCCCTCTCCATATAGTCGATTTCTCTATTGCACAAGCATTGATGTTTTAAATTTTGTAGTACTTTTTCGGACTGAAATCTTTGATAGTATTCGAATGCGATATTGGCTCCACTCTTTGAAAGTTTTGTAGTTTTTACTCTCTTATACTTATAATGTGGAGATGCGTTATATGTATAGAGCCAATCAATACGCTGACTTGTTAATGCAGGGTGCTCTGGATCAATCTCATTTGTATCCCTTTTGGTTTTTTCGTCTGTTAATGAAACGTCGTTTAATTGAGACAGAAGCGTCAGACGACTATGGTCGTATACATTCGTTTCTTCATATGATGGACCGTATCGAAGCTGACCGACATTAAGAGTTTTCAAGAAAGTATGCGGCATATCGAGTAGTAAGCACCCGGTTATTTTACAAATAGATCCCTTGATGTGCAAAGTATACAAGGTCATTTGTTTCAAACATCTACACCTGGACGAGACGTAATTGAATACTTCAAAGGCTACGGAGCATTTTCGTAATGTCAAGATCTGCAATCCGTGTTGCTGCTGTTTTGAAGTCTCGGTTGTCGTATTTGGATCGATGACCAATGTTCCAGCACAAAATTTCAGCTGTTTGAGGGCCACACATTTGTCCAATAAATTGACTATATCAAGAGTTACATCGATGCTGCTGATACAAAGGTTCGTCAAAAGCGGGTGGTAAGAGTATAGTCCAAAAATCGGATTTGGGACCCCAGAAATACATTCAAAGCCTTGAACAGAAAAACTCTGGAGTGTTTTGGAAAACGATTCTAGAACTTTGTTAACATCCATTGAGTATGAAGCGTCTAGTTCTCCCAATTGTGTTGGATCCAATGTCAAATGCCGAAGAGGGACTCTTAATTCACGAAACACCTCCCATAAAATGAATCTGGAAAGCTTGAAATATATGTCGTGTTTGAAATCGAATGTTTCCAGGTGTTGAAATGCGTTTGGATTGGATCGAAAAAGAGATATCATTGTTTCCCTCTTGTCCATTATTAATGTGCTTGGCCACATGGTCCTAGAATTTAACCTTAAGGAACGCAAGTTTGGATATTTGTAGCCAAAATAGTACAGCCACAAAGGGTTCCAGCTATTCCAACTTCCATTTCTGTCTCTTTGTTGTTTCCAATTGATATTCAGAGATGTCACCGAGAAAGCCGGTGCCGTGCTTGGGATTGTGTCCAATGTAGTCCAAAAGTCAGAAGTGGGATTTACGTGAACCGTGATAGATGACAGGGTTTTCAAGTGACGGTGCATGTTGTCAAAGTCCTTCATACTAAACTCGAGAAGTTGATTCATGGAGCCCTTGCGTATTTCTAATTTCCGGAGCTTGCTACACCCATTTATAAATTCAAAGAAGTTTATCCTTTGATGTATGTAACTATTTCCTTCCCATTGTATCTTCAAGGTTTCCAGAGACGTCCATATTTTGTCCGAGCTTGTTATGTCCGTATAGATGCGTTCATAGCTTATGGGTCCTAGATCCAGACACCTCAGGTTTGGCAGGTACTTGAATAATTCCGAAAACTCTATATCTGATGTTTCTGCTATAGAGTAAGAGCTATATATCCGTAGGCTATAAACCCAGAGACTGTAAGGTGTGGAAACAGTTTGATGCCTTTTGATATTGTCGATAAGTTTCTGGACGCCACGGTATGAATGGACTCGTATATATCTCCAGAGAGCCCTTTGAAATGTGTGTCTTAATCCCTTGCATGCCAGTGCACAAGAGCGTTTGTCATCTGTAGACAGCCTATCAGCGATTTGCGCAAGAATCTCGAATGGTAGCTCTGATATTTTCATAACGATAATTATATAAAAAGATAAAGAGGTGAAGTGAAAAACAAATATATTGAATTGTATATATATATGTCTAAATTAAAACCGCCAGATAGAAGAAGACAAATATTGGCTGATATGGTGAGTTACAAACCTGGTTGTACTTGAGCTTTTGGTGGTGATCGTAAATAGATACAAGGCGCAATCAGCTGTACACACAAACAACTTAAAATGTAGAGAAAATTGTTAATACTGTAAAAGGAGCCTGTTTATATAAGAAGATACTTGATATCAAATAATTACAGTCAGTTCAAGTTGTTCCAATATATTTTATATTTTTTTTACTTTTACAAAATAATTAAATTATGAATATACAGCAAATTAATACCTTGCAAATTTGGCTTTTATAACATACCACTTGCTTAATGAAAGACAAGATATTAGAAGAGGATCTAGGGGAATTAAAGAGGAGTATAACTACCGAAAGTAATAAGGTTTCCGAATTTGACTACAGATGTCTTTTCATAATAGAGGGTTAATGGTCATATTATATAGGATGAGTACGTAAGATGAGTTAAAGAATCCATGTCATGTCCTAGCAAATTTAAATATTAAGTTCTAAGCCAGAGCAGCTCTCTATTTAATATAGCATTGATAGCCTGGAATCTAGAAGCTCGATATTTTGCTATTGAGTTTCTGTGCCTTGGCTTATCACTTTGCTCATCCACTGTTTATTTCTTGTCTTATTACAATCATAATAGAAACTTACAATATGTATTACTTTATTTTACTTTATTTTAAAAGATATTGATTTTCACATTTGAATTGGTCTTTGCCTTGATTACTTTACAACATGAACAGATTCAATCTTGCCAAATTTGAATTGGCCATATCCTTTATGAAGTTCGCATGCCCTCGTCATATCGTCGAATTCTTCATCATAGAGGCTTTTATGTTCTAAAGTTTGGAAGAAACATTTGGGCGGAAAGTTTTGAAAGTATTTAAATGCGATATCGGCTCCACTCTTTGAAAGTCTTGTAGTTTTTACTCTGCCATTCTCAAAAGGTCCAAATGTGTAATATGTATAGATCCAAGCAATGCGGTGGCTTGTTAATACATGGTGCTCTGAATCAGTTTCATTTCTTTTTCTTTCGCCTATGTCTTCTGATGACGGAAAGTCGTTTAATTGAGACAGAAGCGTTAGACGACTCTGATTGTATACATTTGTTCTTTCGTATGGTGGAACGTATTGAATATGACCGATAGTCAGAGTTTTTAAGAAAGTATGCGGCATATTTAGCAGCAAGCACCCGGTTTTTTCATAAATAAATCCCTTGATGTTCAAAGTATACAAAGTCATATGTTTCAAGCTTTACACCTGGACGAGAGATAATTGAACACTTAAGCTACGGAGCATTTTCGTAATGTCAAGATCTGCAATCCGTGCTGCTGCTGTTTTGAAGTCTCGGTTGTCGTATTTGGATTGATGACCAATGTTCCAGCACAAAATTGCAATTCTTTGAGGGCCACACATCTGTCCAACAATTGACCAAAATCAAGATACACATCGATGTTATTGATGCAAAGGTTCGTCAAAAGAGGATAGTAAGAGTATAGCTTGAAAGACGGATCTTTGTCCCGAAGATTAAGTTGAAAGCCTCGAGCAGAAAAACTCTGGAGTGTTCTGGAAAAGGATTCTAGAACCTTAATAACATCCATTGAGTATGAAGAGTTTAGGTCTCCCAATGGTCCTGGATCCAATGTCAAATGTCTAAGAGGGACTCTTAATGGAATAAACAATTCCAATAAAATACATTTGGAAAGTTCTAAATCTTGGTCGCGTATGAGATCCAATGTTTCCATGTGTCGAAATGCGTTTTGATTGGATCGTAAAAGAGATATGGTTCTTTCGCTATTGTCCCGGTTTAACACCCTCATCCGTGGGGGCTTAATATTCAGCCTTAAGGAGCGTAAGTTTGGATATTTGTAGCCCAAATAGTACAGCCACAAAGGGCTCCATATATTCCAACTTTCATTTCTGCTGCTTCTGATTTCGTCCCAATTTATATTTAGGGATGCCACCGAAAAAACCGGTGCCGTGTTTGGGATTGTGTCCAGTGTAGGCAAAAAGTCATGATTGTGATTTATGTAAACCGAGATAGACGATAGGTTTTTCAGGTTGTTGGGCATGTTGTCAAAGTCGTTCATACTAAAATATAAGAGTTCATTCCTTAAACCCCTCCGTATTTCTAATTCTTGGAGCATTCTACACGCTTTTATACATTCAAAGAAGTTTATCTTTTCTTGTTCAAAACTACTGTATTCCCATTGTATTTTCAGCGTTTCAAGAGACGTCCATATTTTGTCTGAGCTTGTTATGTCCGTATAGATGCGTTTATAGGTTATGAGTTCTAGATGCAGACACCTCAAGTTTGGCAGGTGCTTGAATAATTCAGAAAATTCTATATCTGATGTCTTTATTCCAAGGTAAGAACCATATATTCGTAGGCTATAAACCGAGAGACCGTAAGTTGTGGAAACATATTGAGACTTTTTAATACTGCGGATAAGTTTTTGAACGCCACTGTATGATTTGACTCGTATGTATCTCCACAGAGCCTTTTGAAATGGGTATCTCCACCCCTTGCATGTCAGGGAACAAGAGCGTTTGTCATTTGTCGATAGATAATCAGAAACGTGCTCAAGGATTTCAAATGGTAGATCTGAGTATCTCATAATAATAATTATATAAAGAGATAAAGAGGTGAAGAGATGAAGAGGTGAAAAACGAATATATTGAATTATATATATATATATATATGTCTTCAATTAAAATCGACGAATAGAAAAAGACAATTATCGCGGTAAGCTGATATTGTGAGTTACATATCTGGTTTTACTCTTGCTTTTGAGGGTAACCATAAATAAATACAAGGCACAATCAGTTGTTCACACACAAAGCTTAAAATTAAAAAACAGTTGTTAGTGCTGTAGAAGGAACATGTTCATATATTTGAATATATTTGATACCAAATATTCATAGGCAGTTCAAGTTGTTTCTGTCGCTTTTTTTTATACTTTATTAAAAGAGTTATTTTGTAAATATACGGTTGACTAACAGCTTGTTCAATTGGCTTTTATAACATACAATTTTTTTAATGAAATACAAGAAATTAGAAGACAAACTCAGGTTAGTAAAGATAAGTAAAAAACTACCGAAAGTAATAATGTTTCAGATTTTGACTACAAATGTCTTTTCACTATAGAAAATTAATGATCACAGCATATAGGATGAGCAAATATGATGAGTTAACAAATCAATGTCGTGACCTAGCAACCTTAACTATTAAGCTCTAAGCCGGAGCAGCTATACAAAGCTATCAATTACACACACTGTATAATCAAAGGCAACTAAATCAAGTAAAAAAAAAGAGAACCAATATAGCTTGAATTTGGTTTTTTATGAATTGTAAATGGTTTAGAATTAAACTCGTAGTAAAAGTGTTTCAGCTCTAAAATTGGCTATGAGAATAAATAGTGTCTTTTTCATTTTTGAAATCATATTTCCAGTTCTATAGTTTTTCATATGAGATCTCAGTTTATGTTTATTATTTTGGGACCATTGATTGTATTTGAAGCACAGTTCTTTATGATAGCTGGCATAAATTATAAAGCTCCAGATATTTAGAATATCATTAAATATTTGCGCAACTATACTGTGAATAAGCAAGTATATAAAGAAAATAGTAACTTATTTTAACGGATCATTTTAACTACATGAAACTAATCGTGTTTTACATAGAATAAATTTCGATAGCCTTTGTTTTATATATATATTATATGTAAATGAAAATTTATAAATTTGTGCATTAATTTAAAATGAACAAAAAAAGAGAGCGACCGAAAAAGAGAGAGAGAGAGAGAAAGGCGGAGATTTGAAAAAATATATACAAAAAAAAAGGGCATAACAACATGGAAAAGAAAAATTCTTATTTTTTTTTTGTGATCTACATTTTTTTTTTCTTAAAAAACAAATTATATAAATCTTCAATCATGAGTCCAGCAATCGCCACAAAAGACAAGGCAGGATCGATTCCAAAAGTCACAAGGACTACCCAAAAGATCACAAAGACCACAAAGACTGTAGCAAAGAGTGTGACCCCAAAGACCGCTACCGAAACTACCGAAACGATCAAAACCACCACCACCGCCGCAGACTCCACTGACAAGAATGTCAAAAAGACACTGTCAATTAAAAAGAAGGCTGGAACACCAGTAAAGAAACCAATTGGAAAAGCAAAGGAGACAAAAGAAGATGTCGCTGCCGATGGTAGTGCTAGTGATAAACCAAAAGCAGGACCCAAAAAGACAATTGTATCCAAGAAACCAATCGAGGCACCCAAGAAACGTCTCACACCTGCCGAAGCTTTGTTGAAGTCAATGACAGCCAAGAAGGCAGCCAAGGATGCATTGTTGAAGAACAGTGCTCCTACTCTTCACATGACTTTTGATGACGAGGGAAATGAGTCGATCGTAGAACCCGTAAAGAAAGAACAAGAAAAAGCAGTAAAGGATGATAAGAGAAAGACAGCAGCAACAACAGTGACAAAGAAGCGCAAGTTGGAGACCAAAGAAGAAATTGAGGCTAAAAAAGCCAAGGTTGATGAATCGCTAAAGGAGATCCAGGCATCAGTAGAAGAGCAAAAGAAGAAGAAGCCAAAGAAGCCAAAGACACCAAAGGCACAAAAGGCTGCTAAACCAGTAAAAGAGATTAAAGAAGAGAGTCTTGGAAAGAAAGAAGGTATATATATATATATATATATATATTGAGCTAATGTGGTAGTGAGGGGAAGAAGGGAAATAGTGAATTGACTGCTTGATATCTAATAGCTTGTGTATTATAGAATCGCTTGTCTACCTAAGATTGTTCTGTGCTGATAAATCTTCATGGAAGTTCCGTAAAGTACAGCAGATCTGGTTATTACAGCATATTTATGACACTGAACAAGTGAGTTTAATTTGGATATTTTTGTTGGGGCTTTTTTTTTAATTGATGTGTTGTCTTGCTGTCACTTGTAGATTAATGACGATGATTTCAAACTCTTACTGGAGTACCTTAAAGATTTACAGGGAATGGCACGAAAGGTAATGCTTTTTTATTATAAAATTAAATTAAATTAAATTAAATTAATCTTAATTTTAATTTATCTATAATTTAATTATATATATATAATTGAGGAGGGAAAATAAAAGAAAGAGAGAAAAGTGAAAGAGGGGGGGTAGTGAGAATATGTTGAAGTTCAAGATAAGATTGTAACAATTACTAATATTATGATTATTCTGTATATATTTATTGTACCATCTTAATTACAGAACTTATTGGTAGAAGCACAAAAGATCTGCCAGACTTCTACAGTCAGTCAATCGTTGACTGGTTATGTGGATACTCAAAACAACGATGATGATGATGATGATGATTTTGATGCCGAGAAGCTTTTGGCTAGATCCGCAGCACAAGTGGAAAAACCCGCACAATCATTAGAGGAACCTAAAGAAGGTGAAGACGATGATGAAGAAGAAGAGTCAAAGATAGAAAGAGCAAAGGCAATTGTTAGAGTATTGCTTTAATTCCCAAAATATATATATATATATATAATTATTATTTTTTATTAAAATTATTTTATAATAATAATTAAGAAAGATATATATATATATAAAAGTAAATAAATAAAAATAATCAAATAGCACATATACATAAAGCACATACATACATATATACATACATCTATCGTCATGAACTTCTTTCTGCACTCTTTATACGTCATCAAGTCTATCAACTTTCCTTTCACAACCAACAACCAACTACCTACAGCCCACTTTAAATTATATCAAATGTATGTATTAGTACTGACAAGCAAAATTAAGAACAACTAGTAAGAACAGGCTACAACTTATATCGACACTAGATATTTATTGTTTTATGGCTCGTCTTTTTTGTCTTTCTTTTGCTGGTTCTTTATTTCCTTAATCATCAGCTGTCTTCCAGATCAGACCTCATGTGTTTGATCAGCCGAGCGGAGTACTCGCTTGAGGGACCGACTTTTGGTTCTTTTGGGATCACCTGTATATGTCACGAGCACAAGCCAGAAGCCTGCAACAAATAAAAAGAATAAAAAAAAATTAGATTTGATGAGCAGTGTACTTGCCACAACCAAACCCACCTTTATTTTACTATCAGTAGTATTGGCACCAGCAGCACCAGAAGCAGCAGCAGCAACAGCAACAGCAACAGCAACAGTAGTAGTAGTAGTAGTGTTAATATTAGTGCTAGTGTGAGTAATATTGTTATTATCATTATTCTTATTTTTTCTAAAAACAACCTATTCCTTCTCCTTTTTCTTCTTCTTCTACTTCTTCTACTTTCTTTTTTCTTTTTCTCTTTTTTTTTTTACTTCTTTTCCTTTCTTTTATATATTGCTATTCTATACATCTTTGTTCTACTTTCTTTTGCTTTCTATGTTTTGGGCTTCTTCTTCTTTATCATATTTCCTCCTCAAAGATGACATCTTTTTCTCCCAGCCGCCCACACACGACCTTATCCAATCCTCTCTAGCTCTTCACCAATCACTTGCATTTGCTGCACCTTCTCCTTTAAACATCAAGCAAAAAACACCATCTCCCAACCTATCTCCTGTCACATCCCCCTCAGGTCTCTTGTATGACCACGAGCCCCTCTTTGATGGTCTTGAAGACCTTGACCTCTCTCAGCCAAACGATAGTACCGTCACCAACAACACTAATCTTATTGCTGATAATGATAACACTACAACGGCTGTTATTATGATTAATAATAATAATATTAGTGAGTCTCCAATGTCCACTCACCAATCTCCCCAAGACTATTTCTCTGTACTACCATATCCCAGTAGCCGTACCACTATTATAGATGATTCACTCAGCGATCAATCACCACAGCTAGAATGGTCTGCCCTTTTAGATCACTTTAATGACGACAACGAAAATGATGAAAACAACGACGACAACACCACTACCACCACTACCAAAATCACCAAAAAAGGCAGCAGAAGAAATAAAATTAATAATTACGAGAGTAGTGAAAGCGATATTATTCTTGATTATGATTATCATTATGACTCAGATATCGATACAGATACCAATAGTATCAACAGCAGCACGAGAACCAGTAACAGCAACAGCAACAATAGCAGCCGGAGCAGCAGTATTATTAGTCGTCGAAACTCCAGCTTAATAATACCTCGACATGGTCTGAAACGAAAACGATTATCCATCGACAGTGACACGAGTCTTGAACCAGAAAAGCCTTTCAAAAGATTGTTAAACACTACTACCGCCGTCACATCTTCCTCCTCACCATCACAGTCACCCTCCTTCTCTTCTTCTACGCCACGTCCGACCGTATTCGAGAGTTTGACTGACACAGGAGTCGATTGGTGTCGATACTGCGGAACTACTGAAAGTGTCAATTGGAGACCAGGTCCATGGGGAAAACGAACATTGTGCAAGTAAGTAAAAGAATATATATAATATAAATAAATAATTATAATAATTATAATAATTATAATATTAATTTTCAAGATAATGATATCCATTAATAGTAAACATGGTTGTGACTACAAAGGCTATGGCCTGGTCAGTCGTCTACCTCGACTTGATCTCTCGGCTTTTGTAAACGAACCGATCCAAGACCGAATATGTCCTGTTATCCAAGAGTTTTGTGCCATCTGCAGATCTCCAGGCTTCACATCAGACAACCTGCTTGTGAAATGTCAAGGAGGTTGTTCACGAGCATATCATCAATTATGTCGGTCGCCCATAATCGGATCTCATTTATTCCAGGATACCCGGTGGTATTGTAGTTCAGCCTGTAGAGTCAATCGTCTAAAGAATAGAGTTGGTGAGTAAAAAAAAAAGAAAGAAAAAAAAAACACACACACATACACACATACATATATATGTATATTTAAATGAATAAATGGGATTTTTATAATACCATATATATATTAAATAATTATTATTATTATTATTATTATTATTGGATTTATTTGTAGTGGTTGATCTACCTCGAAATCATCTTCCTCTAATGATCCGGAATCAAAAGCGGCATTAACAAGAAATAAAAGCGCAACAGCGCAACACTCAATACTCAAAGCAGACCAAAACCAAAATCAAAATCGTAAACAAAAACAACAACAGCGGCACTATCAGCAGCACAACAACAACAACAAAAAACAACAACAAATAGTAACGCAGCAATATCGTAACGTAGCAATATCGTAACGTAGCAACCCTGTAACGTAGCAACCCTGTAACGTAGCAACACTATAACGTAGCAACCCTGTAACGTAGCAACACTACAACGTAGCAACACTATAACGTAGCAACACTATAACGTAGCAACGCACAGCAAATCGAAATCGAAATCGAAAACAACAACAAAAGCAGTACTAGCAGCACTAGCAGCACCAGTAGCAGCAACACTAACACTAGCAGCAGCACTCGTGGCAGTAATGATAATAAGTCTATAGATCCTTCAAGCCAGTTCTTTCAATTAGCACAACATAACATCCCAACTCATTTAACTTCATTTTCACTACATTACACTACATTTCATCTCATTTCACTTCACTTCACTTACAACTACCAAAAAAAATCATTCAATTCACTTCAATTGCATTCGTTCATTCTTCAAACTTATCTTATTATCTTTCATCCTTTCTTGCATTAAATCATCATGGTTCTCTATTAAAATTGTTATCATTGTTGTTATCATTGCTTTTTGTACTTCATCATACAACAGAGAAATTATAATGATAAATAAAACAAAAACAAAAAAATAGCAATCGTTTTAGCTCTTCTTTTTATATTTTCTTCTTATTAATAATAAGAAGAAGTAGAAGTAGAAGAAGAGGAAGAATACAGGTACAATGAATCTGATATTATGTGTTTCCTAGTCTTTGGTTTTCTGTTTTTGTTTTGTACATTGCAATATATATATATCAATACTAATAAATCCTAATAACTTATTGGAATGCGGTTGGCTTAAGTTGGGTGTGATAATAACTAGTAAGAAATTTGCTTTTCATCCATTTCGAGTACCAAAAGAATGTACCTCTCCATCCTCCCCTTAGGGCTCCCCTTCTTTCTCTCTCATTTATCTGTCACTCTTTGTTTGTCCATTTTTTTAATAGATAAGAATAAGACTAAAAAGAACAGTAATAATAATAATAATAATAATAATAATAATAGCAGTAACATTAGTATTAGCAGTAGCAGTGGTGGTAGTAAAGAAAACGATCTTGTATTGTATTATATCTCTATCAGAATTAGTATCCTTCTTCTTATTTTTCCTTGATTTCTTGCTTTCTTGCTTTCTTTCTTTCTTCTTTCTTCTTTTTTTCCTTTTTGAATTACATTACATTGCAGCTCTTTTAGTTCCTAATTTAAAAAGAAAAAACACTCACTTGCTCACTCATACGTATACATACATATATACCCACACATACATACATACATACATACATACATACATACATACACACACACACACATATATATATATATAGATACATATACTAAAACCATAATGGCACGGCTTTCTACAAAGACGTTGAGTTTACTATTTGGTACATAAATCAAGTACTTTACATAATATCAGCACATACGTTAATCGTTTTGTTTGCTTATAAATATATATTATAGCTTGTGTATTCATATTCATTCATGTTGCTTGTGCTCAAGGTAAATATATATTTGCATATAAGAGTTTGAAATATTTCGAATAATAACAACAACACATTGTAATATATATGTATTTGTGCATCTATTTGGAATAGGCGATGCAATGCTTTTACCTGTTTGGAATCATCCTACCGAAGTAGTTGGACATGGACCTGCTCCTCAAGCAACAGCCTGTGCAAATCCTGGTCAGATTGCAGTAACATATGCAAGTATAATTCACTAATTTGTAAACCCACATCAGTAGCTACATAATCTACATCATCCCCAGTACCAACAAAATAAGTTAATATTAATTATTATTACTATAGAACGAAGGTCCAAGTGATGTAACAGCAAAGGTTTTGAATGGTCTCAAGCACACTCAGGCAAAGGCAAACTTTTTTGTAAATGCTACATGGTAAATAGAAAAAGACAGAATCCTTGTCTTTATCTCTTTTCTTTCTATATAGATACGTACATACATACAAACATACATACATAGTATGCTATCATCAAAACAGAATTATTATTTTTGCTTAATACAGATTGTTGTGATTATTAGGCTCTACACTCAACAGTATGCAATGATTTTGCAGCGTGCTTACAATGACGGTCATTTTATTGGAATGACATATCGTGCTCCAGGCGACACTTCCGACGGTCTGACTGACGAACAGCTAAAGGCCGATGTTATCAATACAGCCAAGATCGTCGAAACTCTGATCGGCGTTGCTCCAAAGTATGTCCGCCTTCACTATTCCCAGCCAGAGGACATCCGGCTTGAGAACTTGATTCGTGGGTTAGGCTTCACTCTGGTCTCGTACAACCTGGACACGATGGACTACAACTTTAAAAACAACCCAGAGGGAATTGCCGATCTCTACAACCAGGTCTTCACCAAGCAGCTGGACACCTATGATTCCAAGGGTTCCTTTATCTCGGTCCAGTATGACATTCCAGACACCGGGTCCTGGCAGGCAATCTACGACATTGTCAAGCAGATCAATCAGAATGGATACACGATGGTCAGATTGGATGGTTGTCTTAACGACAAGACACCTTACAAAGAAAGTAAGTTGAATATCCACATATATGTATAATGTAAAAAGTTTTTTTTATGATTCTAATCTACCTGTTTATTCTACTAATATTATTATTATCAATCCTTTTATCATTATCTTAAATATATATATATATATAAGGTGCTGCGTCTCTAAAGTTTGTGTCAGACAAGCATTCGTTTGGTACACCCGATTACAAACAAGGCCAGACGGTTGTAGAAAAACCAAAGACTTCCGGAATCGGATCGCCCTCGGGTACTCCAAAGTCAAAGACCTTACATGATTCCAAAGATAATACCAGCACCAATGACGATAAGACATCTTCTGGTGGGATCAGGCAGATTACAGAATCGTTTGTTATTCCATTGGCCTTGGTTGTATTAATTATGACTATTTAGATTTTCTTTTTCTTTTCCTTTTGACTTTTGTCCTGACCCTATATACTACACACACACACATATATATATTATATATTATATACACAGAGAGACTGTGCGTAGTACATAGTGCGTAGTGTTTCTTTTATTTTACTTTTTTTTTTTGAAAAAAAAAAATGTGTGTAATGTATGTAGTATATTTGTGTGTGTGTGTCCTAAAGTATTTTCTGATTTCAATATGACTCATATTTGCCAAGGCAAAGGATATCAATATGTCATTATATATAAATATAAAAATATAATATCAGTTCCTATAGCAACAATATAAATATTAATCTATCTATTGATCTTATATACCTGTCTCCTGGTTTGTTTGATCAATAGAAACAAAGTCTAGCCCTTTTACTATAAATGTATAGAATCATAATCATTTACCCTGTTCGAATGACCGAGTGCTGGGGCCTTTTTCCTTCGTTCTTTTTTGTTCTCCAAAAAAAAATAAGAGAGAGAGAATGTGCTGGATATATTGTGTACCGAAAAGAACAAAAGAAAGGAAACGAACAAGAAAGAACCTTTAATTGAATATCATTTGATGTTCCCTAGTAGGACCGAACTTGGCCCGTGCAAAAATGAGCTGTTTATAAGAAGAAATAGTAAGCTTTGAATAAATATATATTTTTTGTATTCAAATTACAAGTGAATGATGATGACCATTAGTCTTTTTTTTTTACCTTTTTCCTTTCTTGTGTAATCCTTGACTGATTTATCATTTTCATGGAGAAAATAGCTATAGATATATAAGATCAAAATTCAATGCGATTCAATGCAATTTAATTCATTATGCCTATAAACACACACAAAAAAAAACAGTATATTGTTGTTGTCTTGTCTAATTAATACAACAAAGTGTATAGCCAACCTAAAATATGATATAAATCTGTCTATGTAGTTCTAGCTTTAGATTATTTGGTTACTCAAGATTGTATTCCACAACAAAGGACCCCCATCTACCCCTCCTCCCTTGTATATCTATTCTTATTATGTTTTGCTTGTGTAATCTCAATAGACCATTTTGTTTGTGTTTTGTGTACTCTCTATATATATATATATTTAACCTCGAGCGACAGATTGCATGTGCCTTTTAATTGATGTACAATTCATTGGACACTTGAATCCAAACAAACAAACAATCAAAATAATCGAGCAGGCAGACAGACAGGCAGACAGGCAAATGAAATACAATATAATAAAAGATTCAAAGACTTCTTTATCAATCTGAATGTATTTCTTTCATATAACCCCAAGTTACATACAGTTTAATAGATTTATATCAAATAAACACAAAGATTGTTCTTCTTGATTTGATTGTTCTCGTTCTTCTTGTTTTTGTTTCTCACGCTTTAAGCTATTTTGTTTGTGTCATTTCATTATTTCCTCCCCAATTCACAAGCTTGCTACCTTTTCTGCTGATTCTGTTGATTTCTCTTTTGGTTTTATAGTTTTCAGCCATAAAGAAAGAAAATTATAAGAGATATTTGATGTGTATATACATTTGTATATTATTAAATTGATGGTTTGTACTGCCAAAATGTATAATAGAAAGAAAAGAAAGTAATTGTAGAAAATATAAAAGAGAGGGTTATTTACGACAAGAAGAATATATAATAATGAGATGTGTGTGTGTGTGTGTGTATATGTATGTATGCATGTATGTATGTATGTATATGTATATAAATATACATGTCTTAAAAGAAACAGGGCAAGACTTTTGAAAGGAACGAACGCTTGGGAGTAAAGCCAGAGACCGACTCAGGACTATTGTTGAGGATCATATTGGAAGATGATGGTGCAATAGACGGCTCAATTGACCTACCCACGCCATACTTTGGCGGAGTGAGTACGTTGGGGTCCTGAAAAGAAGCCGCAAGATCCAATGAATGGTTGGTCACACTACTGTCATCACTGGCAATGTCATCATCATCGTCATCGTTGTTGCCTGAGCGAGTATCATCATCGCCCTGTAGTGTCGATGTCCGGCAAGAAGAGGGTTTGAATCCATGCTCGCGCAGCAATTGATGGGTCCACAGCAGATAGAGTCCTTCGTCGTCGTCATTGGGGCTGATGGTAGTATGGGTCGGAGTAGCTGGTGTGATGTCTTCTTTACGATCCTGTTGGTCTATATAAAGATTTTTATATGAAAAAAAAAATAAGATGTGTAAGAATATTGTAGTAATAAAGAAATATGTTATATTGGCATGAGGATCTAATACTTGCCTACTATGATTCTTGTCATGGTTCCATAGTGCTTTACAACAGGCTTTGCGTCTATTCACAAAGAATTAATTAAAAAAAAATTAATTAATTAATTAAAAAAAAACAATGAATATGTATGAAATATTTTCATGTAAAGTAGTTGATGTTGACTGTGCCACACTTTACCATCGGATGATACCCGACGAGCCTCTCTTGCCCTGAGAGAAGCAAATGAATGGTAAGATGGCGAAGGTGTGAGAGGGGAGACGGGATAATCTGGCAACTAGAGGTAAAATGTTTTTGTTTGTTTGTATTGGTTTAATTATTATATGTTTTGAATTTGAACAACATTGTTGTCGATATTAATATTAATAGTGATAATGGTATTGTGTTTTACTGTTCAGGGTGTCTAACCTTTCGTTGGTAAGTAAGACCGGAATCGACTGTAGTCATGATGTACGATTAGGATTTTTGAATGTAAAGAAGTAAAGTAACAATGATATATGTATTTAAGCTTTTATGTGATTTGGTGTGTAATGGAAAGAAAGATGATAGGAACAAGGGAAGGAGGAGGAGGGGGGATTCAAGGTGGTTTATATATTACTTGTAGAAAATTAAATAATATAAATAATCTAAATAGTATAAATATAAATAAATAAGCATACATACAGATGCATGCATACATGTATCTATCTATCTATCTATCTATCTACACATACATACATACCTACATATATATATATATATATATACATATAATAGGTACAAATTCAATTTAAAATACAGATTTATATATTTAAAAACAAGGGCGTGTGTAAGCAAGTAAGGCAAGGTATTTAAGTACATACGTATGTACGCACATCAATCTACTGTTTTACAAGAACTGAGTTGGTATGTTTTTGCCGCATTTGTAACAAATAGCTTGTGTTTATCTTGGTCTGGCCAGTCCTGGATTATGATAGATAACAGCTCAATCCAGGTCTGCCATTTGACAGCCATGTTGCACACTGGCCAATCACCACCAAACAAGATCCGGTCCACACCAAATGCCTCTTTCGCTGTCTCCACAAACGGGCCCAGCTGTTCAACCGTCCAGGACTCGGTCTGGGTCTCAGTAACCAATCCTGACACTTTGCAGACCACATTGGGTTGCTTTCCGAGCAGCAACATCTGTGAGCGCCAGAACTCGAATCGGTCTTGTCCCGGCTTACTGTCGCAAGGCGGTTTTGCCATGTGGTCCAAAACAAATCTTACGTCTGGGCATTTCTGGACGAGTGTGATGATAGGCGGAAACTGCTGGGGTGAGTGGTTGCAGTTGATGTTGAGGTCAAATGAAAGTCCAAAAGACGCAAGGCTCCGGACACCGTCGATAAAATCCGGGCACCGCACGCGGTCCGGGTCAAGCAAAGGGTCTTGGATCAAGTGACGAACACCGCGTAACCGACGGCGGCCGACCAGACGAGTCAAGAGATCAAGATAGGCCACTACATGTTTTCCCTGGTGGACGGGTGCATAGGCCACTATTGCACCAATGCCACCAAATGCAACTCCTGTTTCTGTTCCTTTTGCTGTTGCTGCTTCTATTTGGTTGTTTAGGGTTTCTGCATATCGAGCAATCCAATCGGCCTCTACTAAGCTGTGTACGGGATCCACATCCGTTTCGACATATACTGCCGTCTGCACTCTGACTCTTTTGACATCTTGACTGTAGGCCATACCGTCCATTGGTTTGGATTCAAATATGGACCCCTTTTGCCAAGGGATCAAAATTTTGTCTGGGTGCCAGAAATGCACATGGCTATCAATGATGTTACTTGGAAGAGGAACCATTTTTTTTGTTTCTTTCTTGCTGATTTGGTTTGTTGAATTTGTCTGATTCTGGTGTATATATGTTTCTTTAAAGTTAAGAAAACAAATATGTACAAGCTATCAAAGGAAAGAGAGAGAAAGAGAGAAAACGATTTATGTGTGTGTGTGTGTGTGTATGGAGAAGAAGAAAACAGATACACCTGTCCACATACATACACACCCACCCACATATATATATATATAAATATTTATTAAGCCAAAATCAAACCCTATTATTTTGTAATAGAAAAAAAAACTGGTATAATTTATTTATTTTCTCAGGCTAAAATAATATAGAAAAAAAAAACATGCACTTTTTTTTGTAAAGCAGAAAAGATTACCTAGGCAACCAGTAGATCCACACTCCATATGTCATGTTCAAAGGGATTTTAAGCTAGTTTTCTAGTCGTGTGAATAAATGTAGTATATCTCTATACAAATGTGCGTATTATTTCTCGGAGAATTACAACAACAACAAAAAAAAGATTAAAATCCTTGAGAAAAAAAAAATTATTAAAAATTTTGTACCAAAAATCCCGAGATTTCCTGCTCAAATACACACACACACATACAAATATGGAAAATGTAGACTTTAGTTTTTGGTGTTGTTTTATGGCTAAGAAAAAAAAACCCCCATGTGGGTATATAGAATTATATAATATATTCTTGCTTTTGCTTTTGCTTTTGCTTTTGCTTCTCAAGATTAAGATATACACATAGATACAAATAAGGTTTACCATGGTAACACAGATCTGAGCAGATTTCTCTTTCTTTCTTTTCTTTTTCTGTTTTAGATTTGAAATCATAAAGGTCTTCTTTACACAGACAGCCTCACTAGCCTCAGCAATTCTCAGGCTAAGCATCTCCACCTCACTAAACTTGCATATTTTCTTGTATTCTTAAAATAATGATGATAGAATTAATGTACTCACACACACACACACATATATATATATACAATAAAGACATTATTCAATTGGTTTCAGCCCTGATTGTTGTGTTTGTTATAGTTGCTCAAACTCTGGTTAGACAATCCTCCTGGAAAGATTGTTGTCTTGTGGAATTTTGTATACATATCAATGTGTGTGCGTGGGAAATACATCCTCACAAAAGAAAAAGGACAAAGAAATCACCATTGCAACCCTGATGATAATTATACTAATACTGATACTGACGATGATTATAATGATTATGAATGATTATGAATGGGACTAACACCAGAATATAATTTTCTTATTTGTCGAAAAGGAAATGTTGTCGTACAGCAAGAGGAGGAGCAAGAGAACCATTTAAATGAACTGGTGGTGGAATCTTTCAAACAACGAATATCAAGCCAAACGTGATGCAAATAAAGACCTGTGTGTGAAAGTGTGAGTTCGATGAAGAGCAAGCAGATGATTTGTTGTTTTCTTTTTTCTTTTTAGGATATTTGTAGTAAAACACTATGCGAGCCGCTCCTTTCTCATAGTGTATATATGTATATACGATAATAATAAATGTAGGCAACATGTAGATAGCAGGTCAGCCTCAAAATTGCGTTTCGTGCACGGGCAATCTTTTTTGTATATATAGAAAGACAGGAAAACATAGAATCTAGGCAATCTTAAGCAAAGAACAACAGGAAATACCAAACTCTGATCTTTATGCCTAAACGAATCAGTGGTAGATATATAATTATTGCTTACTAGTAAACAATATCGCTCCCCCCTCTTTAATAACATTTGTTTCAAAAGACTATAGTCGGCCTACATCCGGTCTGCAACCAGTCTGCAGAAACTGGTACGCATACATTCAGAAAACTGAATATCTGTAGATCCATTTCTAGAGTATATATATATATATACTGTCTCACTGTTCAGTATTTACTACTTCTAGACTCTGATAATCTTGTCAATACAAATTACATTTCAATTAGCCCCAATATTATACATACATATTTACATACATATACATACATATAAAACAAAACGTTGTACTGTGGCTAATCAGAGACATCACACTTTAATTTGTTTTTGTTTTTTTTTTTGGAAAGTCAAATCAAATTGATTCCATAAACCTCTACCACATCTGACACCTTTGACAAGTTTAACTACGATAAGCCATTATCATTACCATCATCATCTCTATGTATATACCCACATCTACACACAGTTTAGTTACTGATAGATATTAACGAATACATTATCCCAAATCAACACAGCCTACAGAATTGGATATATATATATAGGACATTTGAAAATGACAATTTCTTTAGTGCTTTCTTATTAACCCAGAGTTAGAAAATACAACAAATCAGTCCTGAATACTCACTCTTTAGAATAAATAAAGAATAAGACTTTTGTTTTATTGTAGCGATATGTACTATATCCTTATCTTATATATCTATGTATGTATTTTGGATCGCTTTTCTTCTCTTCTCTTCCTTTTTTGATTTTCTTTTGCGATGGTTTGTGATAACAAAAGGAACAAATCAAAATCTGCAAACAACAGCCATAGCCACAATATTAGATATGCCTTTAAATAAATAAAGCAAAAAAAGGGGGGTTGAAGAGGAATATATCTGTCTAGAATAACTATTTTCCTTTTCTTCTTTTGATCCTTTATAGTGCATTGCAGTACAGCACAGCACAGTACAGTACAGTACAGTACAGTACAGTACAGTACAGTACAGTAGATTATATTATGGTGCATAATCTATATGTAGAAATAGGCTTTCTATCTCTTATTGGTATTACTACTCTTTCTAAAACAAATAATAAAATAAGCAAATACATAGGCAAAACATACACACTATACCAAATGCCAGTGCCTTTTATTTAATATACCAAACTAGCCTTGTTTGACTGTACATACGATCCAATATTTCAACCAATGGACATCCAATCTGATAATAAGATTATTATAGGAATTAACATGAACCCATAGTATGAGTAAGCAAGTAAAAAGAAAAAGAAGAAAAGGGAGTATTATTATTATTTTTCTTCACTCTTGCTACAAAGCGTATGTACATTATGAATAAAGTCTTTGAAGCAATAATCAGTAACCAGTAAATATGGCACAGTGCACCCTAGACTATAATATGGGCACTTGGTACTAAAGAAGAAAGATGATTATATTGCCTTTCTGGCTGCAGACAATTATACTGATGAGCTTTTCTTTTCTTGCAACCTTGAATTTCCTTTGACTCAATAAGATAAAACAAAAGGGCTATACAAGCCAGATACAGTATGTCAAGGATGATACTACAAGCTCTTTATTGTACTCTGTTTTGTAGCCTTTTATTTGAACTATATTCCATTGTCCAAGTAAAGCGGCATATTTGAAAATGAGGTTTATCTGTGTCTTCTTCCTTTTAAGATACACGATGCTTGTTGTTTTGTTGTCCTTGCCTATTATCTTATTTTTTATTTTATTCAAAGAAGCTCATGCTTATTCATTCAACTGTGTTGCCATGTAGGTATCAAGCCAAAAGTTAATTCATATACATATATATATGTTCTAGTTGTCTAATGAACCATGAACGATTTCCTACTATCGCTACTTCTTCTTTTTATACTTCATTTCTAAATTCATATTATTATTGTTAATTATGAGAGCCAACTGTACATTTGAAATCATAGGTACATTTGATCCAAAAAGTGTACAAGAAATCCATAGACCTATCCAAGACACAAAAGATTACTACTTTACCGTAGTTGCAGGAAAAGGGTACATAAGATATCGTGTTATGGATATTGATTCAATTGATTTAAAGATGTTGCCACTGTGCTCACCTTTCCCAGTTACTCAAAGACAAGACCAGTATATTGTATAGCTTATGGAGAAGTCATAGAAAAATTCAATGTTGCAAATCTTACACCAGGATGTCTATACAAAATTTCTGTTCTTGGGCACTATCTGCATCCACTCAAAGAAGGAAAAACACACCCAAGTATTGACTCTAGATTTATAGCCCTTCAAATCAAATTATCAGTCTAATATATCTAGCAATCAGAAATCAGCAATTAGCTTGTAAAATATTGTCCTTATATATATATGTCTTTTCTCTTAGTATTGTTATTTAATTACCTATATTATAGTAGTAAGTTTTTTTTTTTAGTAATAAAGGTATAGATTACTAGAGCCGCCACTCCTCTTTCAGCTTTTTGCAGTATGTGGTCAGTGTCTTTTAACCAAAATGTTTTGTCTTGTTTTTCGTTTAGTGTCGTTTCTTAGGCTTCAGGACTGTGACGTCGAGACATATAAATCATACTTATTATATTTGATTGAATCTACAAAAAAAAAACTTTACCATCTTTTCTCCAAAACCAAAAATAAATAGGAATAAAAAGTATGAGTAAGTGTTCTGTCCATTTATTGTATCTCAATTGTACTCGGCTCATAATCAATTGTGTCTTTATACCTATAGGTAGGCCAGAGAAATATGGGATTGTTCGTTACAGGTAAGTAGTATATTTATTGATTCGCTTATGTAGATATGTACGTGAGTAAAATTATAATATATATATAGGGATCTTATTTTTCCTCAACATGTCCAAACTGGCCGGTACCTGAGCTCAGTACATGAGAATTATACGAGTGAAATCTATCAGAAAAAAGTACGTATATATTAGAGAGCTACATTATGGCAAAAAAAAAAACAAAGTATTCACAAAGTGTTACTGCTACTACTGTTATTACTATTATTATTCTTAAAAAAACAGATTTTCTGTGGTGACTTGGAACCTAATGAGCTATCAACTTGGATTATACTTCCTCTTACTGATATCAATGAAGGGAACCGTTTTGAAGTTGGTTGGGGTTATCGTGTCCGTCTCAAACATAACTTTACTAGAGCCCACCTCCACAGCCACTTTTTTTAGCAGTCCGGTTACCGAACAGCAAGAAGTAGCTTGCTTTGGAGATGATAGCGTTTCTGATGCAAATGATACTTGGAGAGTGATCAAGTTTTACAAGGATAATAATGAACATGACGAATACGACTATGTAAGTTCTCATTCAACTATTGGAAATGAGTAAGGATTTTCCTACAGTGTTATTATCATTAAAGTGTATAAAAAACTGATAATGTTTTTGATATATTAATGCTTGTATGTGCTTTTTTAAATTAATAAATAATAAACAAGTTCTGGCGTATTGGCCAACCTTTTATGCTTAAGCACGAAGAGACTGAATATGTCCTGTAAGATTCATAAAGGTTATCTTTGTATAATATAAATATATATTTCTAAAAACAACTGCTTTATTATAGGCATAGCCATAACATCGAAATTGAAGTTGATCGTAACGAGGTCACAGGCTTTCGTGAAAATGACGATGAGAATAGCAAATGGATCATCCTGGAGTAAATTAGCAAATTTCTTCTTGATAGTACAATAAGCTCAATAAGCAAAATCCAAAACAAAATTGCTGTATAAACAATACAATTGAATTAAAGCCAACATATTTGAAAATATATCTATTATGTAGTTGAACAAAATAGGTGCAGACAGTGAGAAATTACTTTGATTGGACAACTTAAATTTGATCTTTTGTTTGAACTTTTCAGTATGTTCACAGCATATGTCTTGGTCTGAATGTTTAAATCTGCTAATTTACGAGACACCTACGTTAATTCATAGTATGTGCTCATCATATAACCTGTGGCTATTAACCTTCAATTGTAAGAATAAATTTGTAATCAAATTCTGAAACCTTATTGCTTTTGGTAGTCTGCTACTCCTCTCATCTCCTCTCCTCCTAAAACGGTGTGTGTTCTTCTGGCTCTTTGCAGGATTTTCTTTAATCCTTTGCCCAAGGCAAACCCTTGGGCATTGTATTTCCTTATCGGATTCGTTTATGGACAGCTGATTATCCCTCCTACACTTTAACGGTTAACTAAATGATTCAAATGTAATCAAATCTGTGACTCTCATTATCAGTTTACTATAGTATCTCTGATTTTATTCTTGCCTCTTTTCTTCTTATAGCTGCCTGCTTTAATTTTATTGAATTTTGTATAATTAGATTGACCTAAAACAATTTGTTTCTCACGTCTTTCTCTCTTTCTATAATAATGATTACTATGACAGCGTATGAGCTACCGCCAGAAATTCTTACACAAATTGGTGATAACCTATCGACTAGAGACAACTTGTCTTGTGCTCTGACGTGCAAGAGATGGAGATCCCCATTTGAAAAGGCTCTATGGAAAAACACACGATTTTACTCCTATTACGACATCAGCAAACTTACCGAATCTGTTAAAGTTTTCCAACATTTATCCTTATTACAAAGCCTCTGGGTTCACAGTCTATCCATAACCCGTCCTTTCTCTGGGGAAAATTTATTATATAAAGAATTTTACGATTTATTAAAATTCTTTCCAAACTTGAAGCATCTGGATGTGCCCCTTATCTTCTATAGAGCTATTTACACACACAAAAACAGTTCAGACAGCGTATGGAAATATTTGAAAAGTTTGAAGATTAGTTACGAAACAAGTAAAGCGCTACAGCCAGCGGAAACCCTGCTCAAGGTTATTAATATGTGTAGCATGCTACAGGAATTGATAATACTTGGTCGATACCAAAAGCTTTTAATAAAGTTCGGTGTGGATGACTTTGACAGCATGCACCAACACTTGCAAGACTTATCATCAATCAAGGCTGACATAGATTTCAATTCTGACTTTTCGGTTACACTGTACAAAATCCCAAATACGATACCGGCTTTTACTATGACGTCCCCAGATATATGCCTGAGAGAATATGATCTTAAAACTAAAGATGAATATCAAAATCAATGGAATCCTTTGTGGCTATACTATTTTGGTTACAAGTATCCGAACTTGCGTTCTCTAAAGCTAGAAGTCCTAGAAATTGATAATGGCCCGATAAACTCGGACCAGAGGCAAAGAATCATATCTCTTTTTCAATCCAACCCAAACGCATTTAGACGCTTGGAAACATTCGATCTCACGACCAACGAATACTTCGAGTTTTCCGATTTTATTTTAATGGACTTTATTGATGAATTAAAAGCTCCTCTTAAGCATTTGAAATTACGTGCAAAACCAGGTGGCAAAGTAGACAATTAAGCCATATTGGATGTTAGCAGAGTTTCACGACCCTTTTCTGAAACACTCGAAAGTCTTTCGTTTACAGGATATACATATGGAAATTATGCCAGAGATTCGACTTTCGAGTTATCCTATTGCTATCCACTTCTGACGAACCTTTGTATCAGTGGCAGGAATGTGGCTCTTAATCTATCTGATTTATTGGACAAATGTGTGGCCCTCAAACGGTTGAAACTTTGTCACGGAAAATTGGTCATCGATTCAAACATGACAAACGAGAAGTCAAAGAAACAAAAGCAGCAGCATGGGTTGCATATTTTAATATTAAGGAAATACTATATACCCTCTAAAGCATTTCATTACATCTCGCTCAGGTGTAGAGGTTTAAAACATATGACTTTGCATACTTTGCGAATCAAGGGATTAATTTGTACAAAAACCGGGTGTTTGCTACTTGATATGCCGCATACTTTTCTAAAGTCTCTGAATATCTGTCAGGTTGAATATGGCGCATCATACAAAGAAAGTCAAAAATATGATACTTATCTTACACTCGTGTCTCAATTAAACGACGCTCCATCATCAGACAAAAAGAACGAAAGAGTGAAATATGAGATAAACTCAAAATTCCCTGTAGTAGCAAGCCACAATATTGATTGGATCTATACATATCTTTTCTCTTCGAGTTTTACGACTTACAACGTGAGAACTACAAAACTTTCAAAGAGAGGAGCCAGTATCGCATTTGAATACTATCGAAACTCCTGGCCCAAAATGTATCCCAGAAACTTAAACAGTCAGCTCTTGTACGATAAATGTAGCTCCTATATGACGAGGGCATGCGAACTTCAAAAAGGATATGGCCAATTCAGATTTGGCAAGATTGAATTTGTTTATATTATAGGACCATCACACTAAGGCCTGATTCAAAGAATAGGATATAAATCAGACCCTTTTTAAAATAAAACAAAAGAAAGTAATATGTATTGTAAGTTTCTATCATGATTGTGATAACACAAGAAGTAAACAGGGAATGAGTAAAGTGATAAGCCAAGACTCAGAAACTTAATAACAAAACTTTAAATTCCTAGCTCCCAGGCTATCAATAATATATTAAAGAGATAGCTTCTCTGAAGGTGCTCTTCACGACGCCGACCCCTTTTCTTTTACGTCCACCAGACCCATTCCCAAAACGTACATAAGGATTATTGATATATATAGTAATTATGTAACGAAATTTCCAAAATGATAAAAAATCTTGTACTTGCCGAAGGTGAAAATACACCTTCGACAGGAAGTAAAATGGGAAATAACATCCCATATACAGCATATTAAACAGTCATAGTTACACTGTTACTTTTCATGAGAATAATAGCTACGTTAATGTGCTATTTTATTTCTTTACTTATATTTCATTGCCTTTTAAATGAATCTGTTTGCTATTCTGAGTCATTTATCAATTAGAAAAATCTAAGGGCAAGCATTATACGATGCTTGTAAAAAATCTTCGGCTCCTCCTTCTCCAAGAACAAAGTCAATAAGGTAGTTGTAGTTCATTGTTGTTTTGTTTTAATAAAAATATTGCAAAATAAAGAACACAAGAAATAGTACAAAAAATGCACACATTATGATGGCATTTTAAAGATCAAGTACTCCAAAAATATCTTGAGTAACATATAGCTCCAAAATTGTTTTGGGAACGTTTTGGGAATGAGTCTGGTGGGACGTAAAAGAAAAGGGGTCGGGGTCGTGAAGAGCACCTTGATTTAAAACTTAATATTTAAGGTTGCTAGGTTACTACATGCATCCGTCAACTCATCCTACGTGCTCATCCTATATACTGTGACCATTAACCCCCTACTGTGAAAAGACATCCGTAGTCCAATTCTGAAACATTATTACTTTTGATGGTTTGCTACTCCTCTTTACTAACCTGAGTTTGTCTTCTAATTTCTTGTTCTTTATTAAACAAGTGGTATGTTATAAAAGCCACATGAACAAGCTGTTAGTATACTGTATATTTACAGGATAAATCTTTTAATAAAGTACAGAAATGAAGCGACAGAAACAACTTAAACTGACTGTAACTATTTGGTATCAAGTATATTCATATATACGAACATGTTCCTTCTTCAGCAGCAACAACTGTCTTTTTTATTTTAAGCTTTTTGTATGTGAACAACTGATTACGCCTTGTATTTATTTATGGTTACCCTAAAAAGCTCAAGTACAACAGGATTCGTAACTAATAATATCAGCGTACCGCAATATTTGTCTTCTTCTATTCATCAATTTAAATTTTAGATATATATAATTCAATATATTCACCTCTTCACCTCTTCACCTCTTTATCTCTTTATCTCTTTATTTATTTATCATTATGGGATACTCAGATCTACCATTTGAAATCCTTGCGCAGGTTTCTGATAATCTATCGACAAATGACAAACGCTCTTGTGCACTGACATGCAAGGGATGCAGACACCCATTTCAAAAGGCTCTGTAGAGATACATACGACTCAATTTATACTGTGGCGTCCAACAACTTATCGACATTATTAAAAAGAATCAAAGTGTTTTCATACCATACGGACTCTGGGTTTATAGCCTACGTATGTATGGTCCTTACCGTGGAACAAAAACATCATATTTAGAATTTTCTGAATTACTCCAGTACCTGCCAAAATTGAGGTGTCTGGATCTATGACTCATAAGCTATAAACGCATCTATACGGACATAACAAGCTCGGAAAAAATATGGACGTCTCTGGAAACGCTAAAAATACAATGGGAAGACAGTAATTTTGAACAAGAAAAGATAGACTTCGAATTTTTAAGTGCGTGTAGCATGCTCCGAGAACTAGAAATACTCAAGGGTCCAAGGAACCAATGCTTCGAGTTTTGTATGGATGACTTTCACAACATGCACCACAACTTGAAAAAGCTATTGTCTATCTCGGTTCACATATATCCCAGTTATAACTTTTTGCCTACACTGGACACAATCCCAAACACAGCGCCGGCTTTTGCAGTGACGACTCTAAATATAAATTGGGACCAACACAGCAACATCATGGATCCAGGTCGGAAGTTATGGAATCCTTTGTGGTTGTACTATTTTGGCTACAAATATCCAAACTTGCGCTCCTTGAGGTTAAATACTAGGATCTCGCAGACGAATACATTAATTACGGACAAGAGGGGACCAAAGATATCTCTTTTTCAATCCAATCCAAACGCATTTAAGCACCTGGAAACATTCGATCTCACGACCGATAGATATTTCACGATTTTTAAGTTTCCTTTATTGAGACTGTTTCGTGAATTAAGATTCCCTCTTAGGCATTTGATATTGCATTCAACACAATTGTCGGATATAAACGCTTCATGTTCAATCGACGTTAACGAAATTCTAGAATCCTTTTCTGAAACACTCCAGAGTTTTTCAGTTAAAAGCTTTAAATATATTCCTGCAGACCAAGATCCGACTTTCAGACTATCAGCTTACTACCCGGTTTTGACGAACCTTTTTATCAATACAGTCAAAGCTCGATATAGTGATATGGATGGTGGACAGAAATTTTATCACTATCACTATATCGAGCGTGTTTTTTTCTTACTCCGCGCATTATTTAGTGATATTTCTAATGCCGCTGTAAGTGACTACTGTTTTCTAATAGGATTCATAGTATTTTGTCTAAGAAACTGGGCTTGCTTTAAAATGCTAAATAAAATATATACTATATTTATTTTTTTATACTACAAAAATAAACTCAGAGCTCGATATAGTGATACTGGTGGATTCAAATTATATCTATCACTATATCAAAAAATAGTGATAATAAGCAGGCACGGACCCAAATTTTCCAAAAAATTATCACTATATCGAGCTTTGGCTGTAGTATCGATTTGGTTCTTGCTCTAGATAATTTATTGAACAGATGCGCGGCCCTCAAAGAATTGGATTTTTGTGGTAAAGAATTGCTCATTACTCCAAGCACGACAGCCAAGAATTCAAAACAGCAGCAACACGGATTGCAGATTTTAACATTAAGAGGCTCTGTAGCCTCTGAAGTATTCAATTACCTCTCGCTTAGGTGTAGAGGTTTAAAACATATAGCTTTGGATACTTTGCACATCAAGGGATCTATTTGTGAAAAAACCGAGTGCTTGCTACTCGATATGCCTCATACTTTCTTGAAGACTCTGAATATCAGTCATCTTCGATACGATCCATCATACAAAGAAACAAATGTATACTATTATAGTTTCCTGACGCTTCTGTCTCAATTAAACGACGTTTCATTAACAGACGAAAAAACCAAAAGGGAAAGAAATGAAATTGATCCAGAGCACCCAATATTAACAAGTTACCGTATTGATTGGCTCTATACATATAACGTATCTACATATTATGAGTATAAGACAGTAAAACCTACAAAACTTTCAAAGAGTGGAGCCGATATCGCATTTAAATACTATCGAACATTTCAATCTAAAAATCCCTCAAAAATATAAAACATCAAGACTTGTACGATGGAGAGGTCAAATATATGGAGAGGGAATACGAGCTTCACAATGGATATGGTCAATTTAGATTTGGAAAGGTTGAATCTGTGCATGTTATAGAACCATCAGGCGGAGACGTAGTTGGAAAAATATGGTTTGACCCAAGCTCTTTTTAAAAATTTTAAAAAAATAAAGTAATATGTATTGTAAGTTCTTAATGTAATTGTGATAAGACAAGAAATAAACAGTGAATGAGCAAAGTGATAAACCGAGACACAGAAACTCAATAGCAAAATATCGAATCCATAGCTTCCAAGTTTTTGATACTATATTAAAGACATAGAAGCTCTGGCTTAGAACTTAATATGTAAGGTTGCTAGGTTACTACATGCATTAGTTAACTCTTCTCATGTACTCATCATATACAAAGTGACCATTAGCCTTCCATTGGGAAAATAAATATGTAATCGCTCTTGGAAACCTTATTGCTTTAAGATGTTTATGTTTCTTTCCACTTCTCAAGTTTGTCTCCTTTTTTGCTCTCCTTAGAGAATTGATCATGTGTTATGAAAGTTAGATGAACAAGGTGTTGGTTTGCTACATCTTTATTGTTCAATTCTTTCTTTTAATATAGTACAAAATATAAAGTATATTGGAACAAACTTGAACTGACTGTAACTATCTGATATCAAGTATATTCTTATATGAGCATCTTCTTTATACAGTACTAAAAACTTTCTTTTAATTTCAAGTTCCTTGTGTAGACAGCTGATTGCGCCTTGTATTTATTTATGGCTACCACCAAGGATCCAAATGCAACCTGATTTGTAACTCACCATATCAGTTTACCGGGATATATGTCTCCTATTCGTCGATTTAAATTTTGGATATATATAAATAATTCAATATATTTGTTTCTCTCCTCTTTACCTCTTTACCTCTTTATCTTTATATATTTATCATTATGAGATACTCAGATCTACCATTTGAAATTCTTACAAAAATTGCTGATAATCTGTCGAAGCGGGCCAAGCTTTCTTGTGCCCTTACGTGTAAAGGATGGAGATATGCATTTCAAAAGGCTTTATGCAGAGATAAGCGATTTGTATCCTACGACGACGCCCTAACGCTTACCAAAATCATAAAAGGTTCCAAAAATGTGCCCACATTACACAGCATTTGGGTTCACAGTCTGCACATATCCTAGTATTTCTCTGTGACACAATTATTAGATACAGAATTTTGTGATTTATTAAGATGTCTGCCAAACTTGCAGTGCCTCGACGTACCTATTATATTCGGTGAATATACTTACACAAAGTTATTAAGATCAAGCGACTCAATGAGGTATACAAGATGTCTGAGAGATCCTCACAAAGAAATTAATGGGCTACAGCCAGCAAAAATCCCACTCGATATTAAGAAAAGAATATCAGACAACGTATGGAAGTCTCTAAGAAGTTTACGAATTTGTTGCAAAGAAACTAGTAAGCTACAGCTAGCAAAAGACCTTGTCGAATTTGTAAACGCGTGCAGCATGCTCCAGAGATTAGACATTTTTGATAACGCCGGCTCTTGTGGAACGGTGTTTACTGTGAGCTACTTTGAAAGCATTCACCAACATTTGAAAAACCTATCGGCTATCAAGCTTGTATTATATCTCAGCCCTGACTTTTCGACAACACTGGACACAATTCCAAATACGACACAGGCGTTTGCCGTGACATCTCTATATATTAATACGAGTCGGTACGAAGATGAAAGAAATAGCTGGAATCCTCTGTGGTTGTATTATTTTGGTTACAAGTACCCAAGCCTGCGTTCCCTGACACTAGTAGTCAAGAGATCATTGGTTGACTCGAAAAGCTCGGAAGAGAGGGAAACAATGATATCTCTTTTTCAATCCAATCCAAAGACATTCCGTCAGCTGGAAGCATTCGATCTCAAGACCGATAAATACTTTGAGAATTTCGACTTTGTCTTGTGGGAATTGTTTTGCGCATTAAACGTTCCTCTCAAGCATTTGATGTTAGAAGCAACACAAAGGGGTGAGGTAGGCAATTCATACCCATTGGATGTCAGCAGAATTCTACAATCCTTTTCCGAGACACTCGAGAGCCTTTCAGTTATAGGGTTTATATGTAACTACAATGAACAATATCCGACTTTCGAACTATCCTATTACTATCCACTCCTGAAGAGTCTTTGCATTAGTGGCAGCAATCTATCTCTTGATATAGCTGATTTATTGGACAAATGTGTGGCTCTCAAACAGCTGAAATTTTGCGGTGGAAAATTGCTAATTAATTCAGACATGGTAACTGATGGACCAAAACAGCAGTATGGATTACGAACTCTGACGTTACATGAATTCTCTGTAGCCGCTAAAGTATTCTCTCACCTCTCATTAAGATGTAAAAATCTACAGCATATGACTTTGAACACTTTGTGCATTATGGGATCTATCTGTGAAAAAACCGGATGTATGTTACTCAACATGTCACACACTTTTTTAACGACTCTGAATATTGGCCAAATTCGATACAGCACATCAAACCAAGAAACAGATTTATATGATTTTAGTCGTCCGACCCTCTTGTTTCAATTAAACGATGCCACATTATCAGATGAGAATAAGATGGGCTCAAAATACCCTACAGTAGCAATATATACTATCGATTGGCTCTACACATATTTGGGCCCTTTCAATTCTAAGATATATGAGCTAAGGACTGGAAGACTTTCAAAGAAAGAAGCCGATATCGCACTTGAATACTATCAAATCTTTCGGTACAATAATAGCAACCAGCTACTACAATATAGTAGACTATATGGTATAGACTACCAATATATCTGTAACAAATGCGAACTTGACAAAAGATATGGCGAATTGAGGTTTGGCAAGGTTGAATTTGATCCTGTTGTATTATATCCGTTGTACCATGGTCCCTTTTTGTAATAAACTAAGATGAGATATAAAACGAAAGTAAGAGACACGCATATGCATAATAGTGATAATAAGAATAACATAGTGTTTAATTCTGAGGGTGATAAGATGAAAAATAAAGAGTGAATGAGTAAAGTCATAAACCAAGAGGAGCACCGTTAAGTTGAGAGTCAGTAATACCAGGGACACAGTAGATTTTATCCTCACAGTAAATCACAGACGCTTTCACTAATTGTAAAAAAAAATCTGGTTCTATTGGCTAATTATATACATATATCAGTATGTATCCTTTTATTTTAAGGAAAGAAAACCCATTTAGCCCATCTAGTACTGCTGTGATTATGGGTGTAATTACTATACACTACTTGAGCTGCTCTTATTATATCGTCAAAAGTGATGAGTATTACACATACACACATATCTTTAATCTTAATTCTAAAGCGGAAGATGCTTTTATATAGCAGCTGTAAAAGAGGCAAATAAATGAAATAGCCCAAATACATGGATTTAAGCAACCTTTTTCTATAAAAAAGGGATGTTTTTTAAGAGAAATATGAGAGAAATGTATTTATTGGTATTGAAAACAAAAGAGCAACCACATATATTGTTTGTGGTTCTCTTTTTTATATTTTATTTTAGGAGTTTGTTTTAGGGAGCTTTCTTGTTTGGGTGTGATAATTTTGATGATGTATAGACATTGCAGTGTATATTCTATATATATTTTTTGGTTGAAAAAGGGCTGGCTTATGATACAGTGTATAGGTGGGTATATGGGTATGTGGATATATGAGTATTTTCTTTTACAGTGGTTGTATGTACAAATGATTGAAATCGATTTAAGAGGAGCGATAGGCAGCTGGTCTAATGCGGACTGTGACTGAAGGATGATCAAAGATAATTGAATCCAGGGCCATAGATTTTTCAGATACTGGGCAAGATTTGGAAAAGTTCTCGTCATCAGAAAGTGCAGAAACAAAGGAGGCATCAGAGATCGTCGATGAAGATGAAATCATTGAAGGTGCGACTGTGTTTTGGACTTTGTTACAGCTAAAGGCTTTCTTGACTGAAGCGAGGCCTTTCATGCATTGATCCATTGATGAAGTGAACGTGGAAACGCGGCTTGTGGTATTAGTAGTTGAAGACTGGCGACGCTGGCACTTTGAGATAATACGCTTTTGGATAGAGAGGATCTGCATTGTAGAGTGTTGGTTGTGTGGTGTAAAGGTAAAGGTAAAGAAAGGCTTGATAGAAGAGATGAGGTTAAAAGTATGTAATAAAAAGGAAAGAAGTGCAAAAATGTCAAGCCTTTATATACTATTTCAAAAGGTCCATGCTCGTTGGGTGTCAGTAGAGGTTTATATGCTTCTTCTTCAATTTCTTGCCATTTTTAGGCCAAAGACAAGGGGTCATCGTATCTGATGTTTGGCATCTATCGGAAAATACAGCCAAAAATCCTGATCCACAAAACCCACAGCCAAAAATAATAATCAATGATCCATGATCCATAATCCATAATCCATGATTACCCCCCTATCGAGAATCAAAAACAAATTTGTCCCCTATACCAATTGATTCACGTCACCTTAATTATTCTCTATGAACATCTTTGATTTATTACTCCCAAGATTTTTTTGCAGTCTGTTTAGCCTAATAATTTATATGTGCAATTTGATATAAGAGAATCTCCAACAGTCCCTTTTAACTCCACTGTTATATTAAATTTAACATTTTAGCTACAAGTGGTGCCTCCAACAGCTGAATTTTGTTTTATATTTTTGCTAAAGTTAACAAGGATTTAAAAGTGATTGCTGGAAACGGCTATCGAAAGTTATTTATTTTAAAAAAAATAGATAAATCGAACTGTTTGTTAAAGTGACATTTTCTTTAGCTAAAGTGGTGGTGTTTAGTTTTAGATAAGATAAAAGTTAATTCACTGTTGGAGATGCTCTAATAATTCCCTCCGCTTTCCAAGTGTGTCTTCTTTTTTTGTCCTTATTTAGAAAAAAGATATTGTGTTACAAAAGCCAAAGTAACAGGGTGTTAGTTTGCTATATGTTCACAGTACAATAGTTTTATTAAGGCCAAAAATAAAAACTATAGCAACAACTTGAACTGATTATATATATTTGACATTGATCATATTCATATATGAGCATGCTATTTTGGTGGCGCCTGTATACTAATAGTATCTTTTATATTCAATTACTTTTGTGTAAAGAACTGACTGCGCCTTGTACATCTTTATGGTTACCTCAATTATTCCATTACACCCAGATTTGTGTCTCATAATATCAACTTGCCGCAGTAATTTCTTCTAGTTTTGGATTGTAATCTTATATATATATATATCAATGCATTTGTCTTTTGTGTGTGTGTCTCTCTCTCTATAACTATTATAATGGGGTTTTCAGAATTACCATTCGAAATTCTTTTGAAAGTAGCTGATCTTTTATCGCGAGAGGACAAACGCTCTTGTTCTCTTTCGTGCAAGGGATGGAGATACATGTTTCAAGAGATTCTGTGGAAAAACATATATATTCATGACTGTGATAGCTTGCAGAATCTTATCGACATGGTTAAAGTCTCCCAAAGTACATCCATATTTCGCGGCCCCTGGGTTTACAGTCTACACATAAATTATTATTGCTCTGCGCCAGAAATATTAGCGATACAATTCTCTGAATTATTCAGATACCTACCAAACCTGAAGCGCTTGGATTTAAACGGTGAAATATATAAATATATTTACACAGATACAACAAGATCAGACAACATATGGAATTCTCTGGAAATCTTGATAGTAAAATACAGCGCATATACAGAAAGACAATCAACAAAAGAACTGCCTGAATTTATAAATACATGTAACATGCTCCAACAATTACAAATAATTAAGTGCGGAGATGGTTTTCGCTTGGAGTTCGGTGTGGAGGACTTTAACAACATGCACCAAAACTTGCAAAGCCTATCGTTTATTGACGCTGAAATGTATCTCAGTTCTGACTTTTTGACTACACTGAACACAATTCCATACACGACGCCGGCACTTTCCGTGACGTCCCTGGATATAAGCTCGAAAAAATACGAAAACCATGACGGTGAATTTAGTAGAAACTGGAACGAATGGAATCCTTTATGGCTATACTATTTTGGCTACAAGTATCCAAACTTGCGATATCTAAAGCTAGAAGCTACGAACATATGCTCTGATGCGATAAGCTCAGACGAGAGGCAAACAATGATATCTCTTTTTCGATCCAACCCCAACGCATTTCAGCACCTTGAAACATTTGATCTCACTACCGACAGATATTTCGAGTTTTCCGATCTTATTTTATGGGAATTGCTTTGTGCATTAAGAGTTCCTCTTAAGCATTTGTCATTGGATGCAACAAATCATTACGCAGTAGACGATTCAAACCCAGTGGATTTCAGCAGAATTATACAATCCTTTTCTGAAACACTCGAGACTCTTTCTCTTACAGGGTTTTTATATAGAGAGGTGGACCAGAATTCAGTCATGGAAATACCCTCTTACTGCCCGTTTTTGACAAACCTTTGCATCAGCGGCAGCGATGTGTCGCTTTATATAGATGACATATTGGACAGATGTGTGGCCCTCAAACAGCTAGAAATTTGTGGTGGAAGATTGTTAATTAAGTCAAGAACGACAACTGAAGAGACAGATCAGCATCAGCATAGCCTTCAATCTTTGACATTGGAGAAATGCTCTATAGCGCCTGAAGTACTTACTTGCATCTCTTTCAGATGTAGAAATCTGAAACGTATGGATTTGAGGTCTTTGTGGATTGGCGAATCTGTTTGCGAAAAAACCGGATGTTTGTTAATCGACATGTCACATACTTTCTTAAAGACTTTGAAAATTGGCCAGGTTCAATTCCACGGATCAGACCGAGTACATAGTTATGACGATTGGGCCAGTCTGGTACTCTTATCTGAATTACATGATAATCCGCTGTCAAATGAAAGGGACACAATAAAAAGAACAGAAATAGATTCAAACTACCCGAGAACAGAATGTAACAATATCACATGGCTCTACACATATAATGATATGGCATATACTGGGGAAGAGACCCTAAACACTACAGAAATTTCAAAGGATGAAGCCAATATTGCGATTGAATACTATAAAAACTTTCAATCCAACCAAATCGATGCGATTTCAATTGATGACAGCTCGTATAATGGAGACGACCTGACTGACGCCTGGAAGTATGAACTTTACAAAGGTTACGCCGAACTAAGATTTGGCAAAATTCAATACCGTCCTTATATATGTGAATCAGATTTTGTCGAGCGTTAGTAAATAGGCTGTATAATAGGCCCTTTTAAAAAATGAAATGAAATGAATTAGAAAATAAATTAAAAACCAAATTTATATAAATTATATATTGTATTGTTCTCATTCCTTTGTTATCCTGTAAAGTGACATGCGTATATATAAGATATACACCTACAGACTGAATACTTTCACATTGTTCTTTTATATTCTCATAAGAAAACTTAAAGTATATTTATATGTATAAAAACAAGGTAGCCAAGTTCATAATTTATAATGGTTATTTATTATTTTGATTGCTTTAGTATATTCAATATCACTTTCTTTGTCAATATTCACTCCATAATATATAAGACTTTCAAGTATCGTAGGCCTCCCTTCAATTAGTTACACTACTCTTTGCCTCTCTCAATCCTTTGGTGGCCTTGAGATTCTGAGTCCACGCAAAATCCAAGCCTTTCTACAGTTTTGCTGGCTCATTCCATCCCTCCGGCAAATACGTCTACGCTTTCACTCTCCATTCTATGGATCCGTTCCTACCTTGTGTCCTTGGTCTGTTCTCCCTCCTGTCTACCATATGATCCACTCTATATCTTCTTTTCCCCACCTTTCCAGTCATCCCTGTGTCTTCTTCGCCGCCGCTCTTTCGCTTTGTTCTTCAATACTTTCGATTATATATCCCAATCTCGGCATGCCAGTGAATTGTCGCTGGCGTCCTGTCTGGCGCTTCTTCTCAATTACATATGGTACCCAGTCTCATCTTCTTATGTCATTCCTCAAGGTTTTGGTACCATGAAAATATATCAAATATATGTTCTTATAGCTCTCTTTTCCCTTCTCTTGTTCATCTAGTAATTACTCCCTTGTCTAAAGGACACTGCATTTCCCGGTGATCCGTTCAAGGTACCTACTGTTCTGTTATATACTTACATCTTATCTCCATGCATCTCCTACTTTTTGATACCGAATTTGGCGCATCTCTCCTCTTCTTCTACAGGCCTCTCTCTTTGCTTCGTCTTTCATCCAATTTTTTTCTTCGCAATCTTTCCATATTCACCGCGTAAACACCATTCCTAAGCGTCGTCCTAGATCTCACACACCTATCCTTGTACAGTGGAAACTAGTCTGGTCTTTCCCTCTCTCTCACATCTCTTGCGGAAGCTTGCTGAACCGTATTATGCCCACCATCGTTGTAATCCCAGAATGACACCTATCCCTGCACCTCCTCTAGACCCCCAAACACCCAAACACCTTATGATACCTACTCTAACGTATGACCAATTTGGAAGACAGTCCTCTCCCAGTGGTTTCCTCTTTTCTTTTTTTTCCTCAAGCAGTAGTCTCCTCTATTTTAAACGTGCAATTTCCGAATATATGACCCCTCCTTCCCAGCTCCCAAGCCCTCGGGGCCGTTTTACAGGCAGTTTGGCGTGCATACCGGGCTTTTTTTTTGACAATATGCCTTTTTCTGCCTTTAACCTTACCTCTGCTGCATATAATCCACCATATACCTGTCTCGACCAGGCGCACTTTGATTGATTTTATAGTATTCTTCATTCTCTTCCTCTTCCCTTTCTCCATTTACTGTAGTCGGTTTTGCATCTCATACATTATACATACTATTGTGACCATTTTACTTGATCCTCTCATAATTTGGAGGCTTTCTAAGACACTCCCAGAATCGCCAATCATTATGATGCGTGATTGAGTAGGAACATACGATGAGTGATGAATTTACTTACTGCAGATTGAAGCGACTTGAGGAAAGTAATGGGGAAGCAGGCGAGACGAAGGTCATGCCACAGAGTAGCGGGAATGAAAATGTTAACAATCGTTGCTCGACCACAAATCGAGGGAAAGTATTGTGGGTTAATGTTGAGAAAGATGCAGGCGGTGGTAAGAAACCGGTTGGCGGCGTGGTTGCGTTAGGCAGGGGATTGAAGTAGAGGATACCCTAAATATATCTCGGGTTTTGGCGAAGGCCGACCATACTAAGCCGGGATCCCTACTTGTTAAAGAGGAGCATTCCAATGATGGAAGAGATCATCTGAGAAGGATATTTCGTGATTTTCGTGCATATTAATACGAGCATTCGAGGGCCAGACATTGAGTTTTAGGTGGTTTTGTAGTCGAGTGATGTCTGCAGGATTGAATAAGCATCCAAACACATCATTGGTATATGTCAGTAATTTAATAGTCAGTGGAGGGCTTGAGCAGTGTAAGGTAAGCTCTAGGAATGTGTGGTTTGCGAAAATAGAGAGAACAAGGGTTTCGAGAGTAAAGTTGAGAAGGACCGGAGAGAAGATCGCCATGTTTTTTTTTGTAATTGAAAGACAGTTGGTGTAGACAGATTAAAAGTTCAAAAAAAGGGCAAAAAAGAGCAAAACTTTAAATATAATTGGTCGATAGTTTTAATTAATTTTGCCCTTTTTTTTTACCTTTTTTTGAACTTTTAGTCTGTCCACACCAGCTATTTAATTGTCAACAACGAAAATAATAATTTTGATCAAATTGGCAAATTATATACCAAAAATCAGCTATATATCACAGTTCATAAAATATAACAGCCTCTATGACTATAAGCAACCTGGTTAGACACATTAAGATCCACACTATCAGCAGTTTAGGGCATTAATTGCTCAAATATCGACCAAAACATCCCACATTTTCACTCTATAAAATCTTGATCCACTGTAAATTGGGCTATTTGCACCAAAAAAGTCCATTTTCGATACCCACTTTTACTCACAGGGCAACTGAAAAAAAGTTTGGAAAATTTTCTTTTTCGTCTATTAAGTAAAGTTGTGTAAAACGTAAATATGGATCTTCCGATGCTTTTCAGAGAAGAAACAAGTGTGAATTCGTGGAGATATTTACTACTCTAAAAAAGACTTAATTTGTTAAGGAAGTATATAAAAAAGGCATATAATCTATCCACACCACACGGGTAAATGTATAACATCCATCGGAAATATTTGCTATCCGTTTTTTTTTTTTGCATCTGCTCACAGATATTGACGTCCGAACCTAGTTGTTTTTATACATGCTATATACTTTTTGTTTTGCTAATGGTTTGAGCACAATGTTTCTGTGGGGAGCTACCTTTGCTTTAATTGGGACTTTCTTATTGTATATTTAACTCATGTAAAGCGGAAGGTGGTTAAGCACACAGCAATTAAATCCGATCCCTAACTATCAGTAGTAACTTATAGAAGTCAAATTAGTAGTTAATTAATAACGTCCTGATTTATTCCCGTATAATATAGTTTCCAGCTAGATTTAATTAGCAAACCTATTATAATAATATTACTTTAACGTGCAATATATATATATATATACAAGCTATACAAGCTATATACGTTGTAAACGTTGTGTCCCAAAATGGCTGTATAGTTCTGTGCCCGCATAATAACTTAAATCCTCTTAATTACTAGAGTCCTCTAAATATCTACAATCACTACAAAATTTTCGATAGAGTTCTTTTTTACCAACACAATAACATACAGCAGATTTGGATTGAATGAAAAAGGCTCTAAAGTCAAGATCTGATTTCCGAGGTTTCTTTGGTTCTTAATAGCTCATTATTCCTTGAGAATACTACAAAGATAAAACATTTAGAATCATGATACAAGAAAGTAAATGAAAGGGAGATATGACTTCACTTGTTTAGCTGAAGTAACAAAGAAATAGCAAAGGGATAGAAAAATTTGAAAAGGAAAGATATATATATAGAATGAATCACCATTAAACCAAAATTCTACTTTAAAATACACATCTACCTACACACCCTCAAGACCCTTAAGCATTTTCTTTTAAAAAAAATTCTACTGAAGCCACCCACCTTTTTGTTCACAGTACTATAAGCAGAAATGTAATTGTTCATAAACCCTTTACAGAGCGTCTGAGCATATTCAATGTCGTACTCCCCAATCTCCCATGCAAGAGATCTATTTATTTTGTCTGTCTCGTCCAAGCATATATGATATTTGTTTTTAGCACATCGGTTGTTTTTGGTTATTCAAGTCCAATTGACTAACGTTGCCATTAATATAATTTTAAGTATAAGTATGTTCAACTGGGAGTGTGGTA